ATCCTTCTATCCCGAGGACCCGGTCTTCACGAAGCCGGAGCAGCGGACACAGGCCGCCAAGCCCATGATGTCTACGCAGGAGTACTACGGGGCGACGCCGCAGAACCCTGGCTACCCAAGCTTTGACACGCAGCGGAGCACTGTCGGTACGCCGAGCGCTGGACTCGGAGACGACTGGAACGCCTTCATGGACTGGGACAACTGCGACGAGGCCATCCCTGAGTACCGATCATAGCCTCTGGCGGGACTGGAGCACATTGGATTCTGAGGAGCAAGCGTTTGATTTTATGACGAGCATGATGTACGACCAGGGATATACCCCACACACTTATTAGAGTCTGGTTGCATGGATGGTCGGATTTGGTGCAGGGCCACGACGGGCACACCTAGGGCGCTCTCGGGCGTCTATCTTGGGATTGGGATTTTATTGTTCAGGGTTGACGACACGACAACGTCCCTCCTCCGCTGTCTGGATATTATTCCACCTCGTCACGATATTTTTGATACCCGAAGAGGAGGGAATTTCTTTTCATTTCTACACGGCCAGGAGATGAGGTCGAGAAGGAACACACGAAAGGGACGTGCTATGCGAGGGATCAAGACGAATCATGCCAACGCAATATGGCTCACAATATTTCGGGAGCCGCTTTGGCACGCCTATCCATCGAGGAGAGTGAGGAAGAGAAACCCTGTCGAGATGGGACCAAAAAAAAAAGTCATAAAAACATTGAAGCATGCCTCCCAAAAGTGATGTCGGTGCTTTATCCTCAAGGTGATGCGACGCTGAATATTATTCATCTCAGCATTTCGGCAGTCATCAAGTCGTTGCCAGTCCAGGTGATCTATCTGAAGCCTGGTCTTCCTTCACGACCCTCGAACCACTCACTTGACGTGTCGCCGTAGCCTGCATATGCAGCCTTCAGCTGTGGCTGACCCATGCGAAGGGCACCAGGTAAGCGCCCGGCAAACTCGCCATCTACCGCACCGTCAAACGTAGCGAGGCCATCGCATCGCTCTCACGGCTCCCGTCCGCGGCCGCCGTCATCGTCATTCATCTAGAGCAAAGCCTCCCCCTCCCCCCTTCCGAGAAGCGGCACCCCCCTCACCGAGGAAATGGCAGAGTTCGCCCTCGCGACGAGCATCCTCAGCACCATCGCCTTTGCGCTGCAGCTCTGGACCGACTCGGCCGAGATTCGGAAGAGCGGCTCGAGCATCTCCACGGCCGACTGTACGCGGCAGGCCGAAAGCCTCAAAACCCACTGCGACAGAGTCAAATCGCTGCAGGACGCGGAAGCCGAGCTCGACGAAGCGGTACGCCCCCTCCCCCTCCCCCGTGCGACGCAGACACTTGTCACGTGCCCCAGTCCGCACCTGTCGTGACTGACCGGTATTGCGCCAAGGCCAGGATCAGGACCATCGCGGCCGAGATTCATGAGTTTGGAGACGAGCTCGCGACGCGGCTCGCCAGGTGTGCGCTTCAGCCGGGCGCAGGAGGCTGGAGGCGGTACCGAGATGTCATTGCCGTGCTCTGGCGCGGGATGCGCATGGACGCCGATGCGCAGATGCGACGGCTCGTCGCGCTGCGGAATGAGCTTCAGTCGGAGCTCCTCGTGTCGATGCTGCGCAAGGTCAGCGTCGAGGACCTGCAGAGCAAGGCGGCCTTTCGGAGCCTCGACGACGATGTCAAGGCGCTCACCCTGGGTCAACTGCAGGGCCTCGAGGCTGTCCTGACGAAGGTGGATTCCCTCGCCCTTGCGGAGGAGCAGAGACATCAGGAAATCATGGCCGAGCTTCGCAGGTGGGATCCGCTCAGCTCCCACGCCCGTCCCGCTGTTCGTCAGGACGACGACCTCGTCTGGAAGAAGGATATGCTCACGGAGCTGAAGAACAGGTTGTGGTACGGCTCGATACCGCGGCGCCACGATGCCATTGCCACGGCGCATGAGAAGACGTTTGAGTGGATCTTCACCGGGCAGAAGAAGACTCACCAGTCAAACACTACGCTCATGGAGTGGATGGCCGGGGGCAGCGGTCCGTACTGGGTCAGCGGGCGTGCCGGCACGGGCAAGAGTTCGCTCATGCGCTTCCTCAACGATGATGAGCGAACGAGAGAGGCATTTCAGACGTGGGCGGGCGATCGCCCTCTCGGCCTCGCGTCTTTCTACTTTTGGAATTCCGAAGCTGCCGGCGACGGTCGCCTGAAGTCGCTGATAGGCCTCTATCGTGCGATCTTGTTCACCCTCATCGAACAACACCCCAGTCTTGCCGACGTGTTCTTCCCTGATCATTTGGTCAAGGGAAGGCGATGGGACGCGGATTTTCCGACCTTTATTGACATGGCGCAGGGGTTCGAGAGATTCTCGACGGCGAGCGAACTGCCTGTCGCCGTGGGGCTCATCATCGATGGGTTGGATGAGTATGAGGCACCACACAGCAAGCAAGTCGAGGCCGCTGCCATGCTGCGCCGGGCCAGCGAATCGCCGAGCATTAAAGTCATCGTCTCCAGCAGACCAGAAGCTGCCTTTGAGACGGCTTTCAGGGATTCTATAAAGCTCCGTTTGCACGAACTCACCGAGGAAGATCGCCGAACCTACGTACACGACAAGCTCACGGCCGTACCACGACTCCACAACATAACGACCAAGGAGCAGCAGCGGGAGCTGATAGATCTTGTTGTAGAGAGATCTGAAGGCATATTCCTCTGGGTGAATCTCACCGTGGCAACCCTGGTGGAGGAGATTGAGTTGGCGATGGATATCTCGCGGCTGCTGAGGGTGACCAGCGACATTCCTGGAGGCAACAAGGAGCTTGGCGCTATCTTTGATCACATGTTGCGAAACAGAATTCCGGACAAACACAGGAACCTCGGCCTCCAACTTATTCAGACCCTGAAGTATGGGTACACTCTACCTTCGAAGCTCATTCCGTGGGTGGAAGGGGATAGGATCAGACACCCCATCACCGCAATCTTGTGCTCCTTTTTCGAGGATGACTTGCAAACGACACTCCAAATTCCCGTGAAGCCACTTACAGTAGCCCAAGCTGCTTCCAGAACGGAGATGGCTATTAACATGGTCCGACAATCCTGTGCTGGCTTGCTGGAATTCAGGGACTTTGAAGGCGATTCCTTGCCAGGGGACCAGCCATCTGTCAAGGCCATGGAGCTTCATTATTTGCACAAAGACGTCTCCATATATCTCGAGACAGCAGATACGGCCAAAGTCTTTGAAGACTCGCTCCAGAGTACCCATGGAGACATCCAGACGAACTTGCTGAAGTGTATAGTCAGCTTCATCAGGACCATCTCCGCGGAGGATCCAGCAATCGTCTCTTGGGCAGAATCCTGGATGCTCAACTCGGCATTCTGGCAACTCGTCGAGTACTCCATGCGGCTGGCTCGGGACACCGAAGAGAGGAACCCTGATCAGACCGAATCTCTCTTGGATGCCATGGACCAAGCAGTAAACCAACACTGGCAGCCAGACGGGTTCCTTGTCCCTCTGTCAGTCATGGACTCTGCGTACTGGACTAATCACTTCCCGGTTGACCGCCACTACACTGGAATGAGAGTCAATGAGACGGATGTCCAGGTCTTAACTTTTCTTTCGTTTACTGTCCAACAAGACCTGTTCTTCTACCTGCAATCCAAGCTGCGACGCCTGGGGCCAACAGTGTTGCAGGTGCCTGGGAGGCCACTACTGCACATTGCCTGCGGCACCGATCCAACCTGGTGGCTCTTGCGAGGCAGACGCCCCGCCAGGGTAGTCAAATTCCTTCTCGACCACGGGGCTGACCCTCACGAGGTCTTTGATGGCCAGACGGCCTGGCAGGTTGCGCTCGATGTGACGCGGCGCTCCGCCACGACTTCATTCCTCGAGCGCAAAGAGATCGGAGAGGTTCTTCTTGCACTGGTCAACGCGGGTGCTGATATCCATGCCGTCATCCACTGGACGAAGAGGCGCAAGATCAGCAAGCGAAACTGGGTCACGGACAATTTCTCTCGGCCCGCAACCCAGCAGATCAGGCTCACGTTCATGGATGCTGAACTTATGGAGCCAGGTCGATATTGCGAGAGGACTATCGGCGGGACACTATCTGCGACTGAGGAGCAGATATTGAAGGAGCTCGGAAGGAAGATTCTGGCGGTGATGGCGGAGAAGCGTACATGGAACATGGCTCTGAGACACAACATCAGGGACACCAAGGCGCGGGTGACTCACGGGGTCCAGAAGCGAGTAATGGCATTGGGCGCGGCATTCTTCAAATGATTCTATATTGCATGCATGCGAGTTCTATTCCGCTTCAACATTGATACTTGTTGCCAGTTGTCCAGCAAATCGCACCCTCCTTTCAGCCGGCAGCGCAATTCGAGTGCAGTATCTTTACAGCGCCTTGATGAGTAGCAACAATGTTCTGTCAAGTCTCAAGAGAGTTTGGTTTTGGCGTATCTGAGGGATGGATGTACGATATCGACACTGGACACACTCTTCAAGAGCTTCCTCTACAAACCGTATTCTCTCTGACATGACGTACATCAGAAAGGCATCACCCTTTCCACAGCATCTCTTTCTTGTCCCATATGAATCAACTCAAGAAAACGTCTCTTATGGAGAAAATATTTTGTGATTCCATGTTGTATTACGTTCGGCAGCCGAACCTGTCCCCATCGAAACCCTGTAATAAACTTGACTACCACAAGCTCACGTGGAGCAATGTGCTCAACGAAATGCTCTGGATCAACCCACAGGACCACACGCTAAGCCCAAGGAGGACCTACGTGGTGCCGAAACCTCGCATCTCAGCCGCAGCTGAAAACACCTTCGATTGGATGCAAGAGTTTTGTACATAATGCACGTGAAACCCCTATGGTCCTGTCTCTCTGAACTGCGCATCAAGATTCCTTTGCCTACTGACTGAAGCTGGACGTTCTTTGTTCCTCATTCTGATCTACTCTAACGCGCGCACCTCCGCCCGCTTGCGGTCCGCTCCCGCGCGCCGCCATGGGGTCGTGTTTTAGCAAGGAGGCTAACGAGAGCCGGAACGACGGCGCAGATCTCGATCGCCCAGCTCGGCTTCCCCAGGAAAAGGTTGTTCCTGTCCAACCAACGACCGGCGGTGGCGACGATGAACAGCCTCAGGTTACAGCCGATGCTGCGGCGCAAGCGCTCGCCATGGCACGCGAGGACCCCAACGCGACAGCGGCTGCTACGGCACCGCTGGAGCTCGTCTTTTGCCGGTTCGAGTCTGGCCGCATTGTGAGGAAGAAGCGATTCCTATCACAGACCTTCATCGCCGTCTCGCACGTTTGGGGCCCCGATGCCGACTGGGCCAAGGTGGACGGCGTCGATGAGGAGATCATCGTATCGCCAGAGAAGGCCCTCTTCATGCAGACGCAGCTCCCAGGTCTGATGGGCGACGCCTGGTTCTGGATGGACGTGCTCTGTGTGGACCAGCGCGATGCCGATGCCCGTGTCGCCGTCACGCAGCACATCCCGGCGGTGTTCCGCGCGGCGCAGAAGAGTCTCGTCGTGCGGGAGAGCGCGAGCTTCCGCGCGTGCTGCGCCCAGGCGGCCGGGCCCTCTCATGCGTTCCTGGGCAAGACCAGATACGGCAGACGACCAGACGACCAATCGTCGGATATTGACTTTACCGACGAGGAGATGGACGGCCGAGGGAAGCTGCGTGCGCACATCGAGCAGAGCCACAAGGGAGAGTACATGGATGACGGCGTCCTCTCGCGACTCTGGCCGCTCCAGGAAGTCATCTTGTCCGACACGGTCCAGTTCGCCAAGTGCGAGCCTGTGCCCGGCGACGACTTTAAGGGCCACAGCCCCTCGCGTCCCGCGCCGTCCATGGACAAGGCCCTCACTCTCGTCGGCAGCCTCGGCATCCTGGCGCAGACGTGGGACACGTACGCGCTCGACGACGACACCCCCATGTGGCACCGGCTCGGCACGGGCAAGTGGTCCTTCTTCGACGCCTACTTCGGCCTCGGCTAGGCGACGCGCGCCAGCAGCGGCAAGGTCTCGCCGGCGGTGCCGCGCGCGCGCGATCTCGGGCTGCACCTCGTCAGCACGCGCCAGACGTCCAAGGGCCGCGACTTCATCCTCGCCATCATGCCGCAGTACCAGTTCTACAAGGTGCCGACGACGGCGCGCAAGATGACCTTTTCGGAACTCTTCCTCGACTGCTGCCGCCAGCTGCGCAGCCACGACGCCGGCATCGCGCCGTTCCTCATGGACTCGGAGAGCCCGCTCGACGGCGACGTCGGCACCCTGCGCTGCGGCGTGCCCGAGCCCGTCTGCCTCGGCGACCTCGCCAAGCTCTTCAACGGACCCGTGCAGCGCGCGCCGGAGCGCAGCGTCGTCGAGCTCCTGACCTTGCAGCCGCAGCCGGCGCCGACGTCGGTGGCGAAGCGGCAGGCGCTCGAGCTCCTGAGGCGCGTGCCGGACGCGACGCCGGAGGATGCCGTCACGGCCCTCGCCGTAAGCATGACGCACATGATTGTCATTTCCATCTTTGCGAGCAAGACGCTGTGGCTGATGTCGCAGGCCGAGCTGATGCATGAGATTGCGCGACTGCAGGCGCAGGAGGACAGGGAGGATTCGGACTCGGAGGACGGCCACGATGGGGGCGTCAGCGAGACGTTGCAGAGGCGGCTCGTGTTGGAGGCGCTGCTGCGGACGCTCGGCTGGATCGACTGGAACGAAGGGTCGCGGGCCAACGCAGAGGCCATGACGGACCGGTCGGCCATCATCTTCAGGCTGAAGGATGCGCCGTGGGAGATGTCGGCCATGCTCGTGGCCATGGTGAGCTGCGGCATGCCGCTGAGCGCGTACGAATGGGCGAAGGAGCACCTCGCCGTGGTGCATGTGAATGTGTTCCAGAGATCCTTCATGGCGCTGGCGCCGCAAAAGGTGATGAAGCCCGACACCATGTTCTTCATGAGGCAGGTGGACGACTATGCCATGGGACGTGATGGGGCGATGCCGAGGTTCACGTTGATGGCGATGGATACCGACAGTGACATTTACATGAACCAGTGCATGTTCCCTCCGGATCTCGCCATGTCAAATGGATGAGGGGTGGCTGAGGGGGTGGTGAAATCTTTTCTACGCAGCGAACTGCCAAGTATTGAGTTGTAGACTTTTCAATGTGCATCTAGCGACTGTAGTTGTTATTGAGAAAGGTGGTCATGTTGTGATATTATCTTTGCATAAATATAGACAAGACTTCTCTCATGACTTTCTATACTCTGGGTTGCTGAGTTGTGGCAATTCGTGTGTAAACTGTGGAAATTGTCCAAGTCAGTTTCGCAACTTGTATAACCATAACACCACTCCATCATTCAATCAAGTCAAGTTCCGTAATACATCATTCACCAAGTCAAGTCCCGTGACACATCATTCACTCAAGTCAAGTCCTAAGACATATCATCCACTCAAGTCAGGTCCCGTGACAGACTCGTAACTCTGTTGTGTGAATCGTGGCAACACTATCATAGCGCATCTCAACACAACAACCGCGACGCGTCAGCCTGGCGTACCTGCCTACCCATACCCTCATCTACATTCACCGAAAACGCCTCTCACTCAAAGGCAAGCGTATAGAAAACCTTCTCCGCCGCGATCTGATATTCCTGCCCGCTTCTGCTTTTCCCAACCGCACAACCCCAACGCAGCCATCGCCGCGACGACCAACAGTCGCTGCAACCGCAGACCTCCGCTTTCGGCCAAAATCAACAGAATACACACAAGTCAGCGGACTTAATCGACTGTGTGTGAAATCAAGAAGTGAGCTCTGGCAGCCTGAGTTCCCGGTATATACTGGCTTGGTGGGTGACCTAAATGCCACGCATACCAATCTTCAACGACCAGACCGGAGAATGTGTATATACATCTAGAAACGGCTAACACAATGTAGAAAACCCCTTACCGACACCATGCCCGTTCCCATGACGGGCGCCGCTGGAGGCATGGCCCCCCCCGCGCACATGGCCATCGACCGCCCGCCTGCTCCCGACGAGATCCCCGAGAGGTTCAAGTTTCCCCGCCAGGACATGAGATGGGAGCCTCCCACCTTCGTCAAAGATTTGCCTCTGGCGGAGAAGAATTTTTGCACAAAGGTCACCGACATCGTCTGCCAGGCTGTTGGTCTCGAGTTTTTTGACCGTCTTGCCTGCGCCTGGGCCATCATCCACCACATGGTCGACGTCAGTTATGAGAAGCTGGTCTCAAAACTGCTCATCGAACTGGCCGCCTCGCTCGATCTCACCTATGATGACGGCATCCATCATCGACTTGCCGAGTTGATGAAGGAGATCCGTACGCCGCGCTATGTTGAGCTCCAGTCCAACGGCGAGGTAAGCACCCCCCCCTTCTCATACATCGGCTCGCTTGCATGACTGAAGCTGATCGTCTTTGATTTGACGCAGCCGCCCGTGCAGGAAATGCTCGGATCGCAGGTGGAGCTCATCGACTTGGCCGGTATCATGGCTGTCAACATTCACGGTGAGTTCTCCACAGGCTCTTGCCAGAAACACCCGCCCTTGCGCACCAAGACACTGACAGGAGACAGAGCGCCAGCTCCGCATGCAGGCCGAGGAGGTCGACGCGCAGTACGGATACGTCAATCTTTGCACATTTGCCGGAATGCTCGTGACCAACGGCGCCATCGACCGCTGCGACGTCGCCATCCACATCATGATGCGCACCCTGGAGACCCTCCGCCTGACGGAATAGGACATCGTCGGCGTCAGTCGCTTCTTGATTCTTACGGGCAACGCCATTTACCTGCAGATCGTGGCCCCCGTGCACTACGTCACGAGCCCCATCATGAACAGGCTGCACATCGGTCCGCTCTGGAAAGGCCCGCTCGGCTTCTCGGCCTGCCGCTGGACTTTCTGGTACCAGCGTCTCGGACAAGCCCTGTGTACGGCCAAGCTACCCATGGCCGTGCTCTGGGGCAGGCTTGGCCACCATCACATGCAGGACATTGAGAACACCTTCAGGCGACAGCAGCCCGCGCCGAACTACATCGCCGCACGTGCGGCCATGCATGTCGAGTCCTCCAACAGTTATGGGCAACCCCAACCGGTCGGACCCGAGCCTGCTCTGCGCCTCCGTATCCGCCAGCTCGAACGCGCTCTGGCTCAAGAAAAGTCGTTCCGCCGCGATGAGTGCCGGTACTACATGGATCAGCTGACCAACGAGAAGACTCGGACCGTCAAGGACAATCCCGTTTACCGCCACCACAACGCGGTCACCGAGCTCATCGCCGGCGCCGGATGGGACGTGGATCCGCACCTGAACGCCGAAGGCCTGGAGAACAACCTGATCAAGCTTGTGAGCCTGACAGGCCACTACAAGACCATGATTCTCGACCAGCAGCACCGCGCAACCGTCAAGTACCGTGTGCAGTTCTTCAAAGGACAGGCGGCTGCTTTCGAGATCCTGCAGCCTCTGCTGGGCTGGCCATCGGACCATGCTTGGCAGGCCGATCGAGCGACGCGCGCCGCCAGGGTCATCGACGCTCTTCCCAACGAGAGCCTGCTGCCGAAGCCGCTGCTGCAGCGCTACCGCGATATCCTCAACCGCGAGCGTGGCGTCATCGACATGATTCAGGCCTTCATCGACGAACAGAGTGCCGAGCGAGCCAAACGGCACGAGAGCTGGCAGCAGCAAATCGGCGCGCCCATCACCCATCCCACGGCGTCGACGGCCAGCGCGCTCTCGGGCCCCAGGGCGCGGAATCCTCTCGACAACCTGACGGCGCTCAAGATGCAGCAGGACATGGCCGAGGACAGGGTCATGCTCTACAACGACCTGTTCAAGCGCCATGAATTCCTGTGCCAGCGCGACCAGCATACAGCCCTCATCCTGCTGCGCCTTCCCCAGGTGCTCCAGATCAGCGGCCGCACCTTTTCGCTGAGCGCCCTCTTGGAGGGCATCCCGAAGCGGGAAGACCTGCCCGCCTGCACCCTCGGCATGGGCTGCACGCTGGGACAGACGCACTGCGAGATGCAATTCCGAGCTCTTCCAGCCCAGCTCAGCAACCCCATCGACGCCCACCTCAACCCAGCTGCTGGCGTCTTTGCTCCAGGCTCGGGAGCTGTGCGTGGTGCTGATGCTGATGCCGGTGTTGCTGATTCGAATGCGGATGCTGCCAACAGTGGCACGGGTCCTGCCTCTGCGTCGACCAAGCGCCAGCACCCTGGAGATTCTGAGCAGGACCAGGAACCGAATCAGAGGGTTCGGCTCGCCAAGGAGTGATCAGGATGCCGAATGTTTGTTGTGTGTTGCAAGCTTGGGCAGTGTGGAAGAAGCGGCGTGAGAAGTGGCCGCGGACATGGTACTGGAGAGGACAAGGGGACATCACGGGAGATGTCTGGTGCGGCGCGGTGGATGCGTCAAGCGGATCGTTGCACGAGACATGGCCGAGGTTGCTAAGTGATGAGCCGTTCGTTTGGATGGTCGTCAGGATCGAGGTTCGCTTGGCATGGCATGGCGTAGCTCGAAATGAGCCTTGGGAGTGCAATGCACTGCTATCTTTGCTGCTGTGTGATGTAGAAGAAATGCGATCGCCGTAGCTGAAAGAAACAATATGGAGAATAGCGCTGTGAAGATGGTGAAGATGTCAAGTTGCATGCATCCAGGTACCTACCTCAGGTACCCAAGTAGCGAAAAGTCAAGGCAGGTGGGATCGTACTGCGTGACCAGATCTCGATCACCAGGAGGCAGGGCAGGTGCAGTGCAGTGCAGGTGCTGCAGGAGCGATTGGCAGAGGTGCGACGGCGATGCCGTTGCCGTTGCCATCGATCTGCGGCTGTGGCGCAGCGCCCTCGTACTTCTGCCTTCTGCCTTCTACATGATCCCAATGCCATGCCAGACCAGGCCACCAAGAGTTGTTGGCTCCCCCTCTGCCAAGAGCTGGCATTTCTCGCAATACTCCTCGCCAGAGGTTCGTCATGAAAGCATTCGCTGGCAACATGCATCATCATTCTTGGGGCCATTTCCCTCGTTCTGACCCGACCCCATCCTGCAGGGCACACCAGCCACATGTCTCGGGCACCCAACGATGCGTGGCTTGGCGCAAGGCTGGCCCCCCTCTCCCCCCGCGTCTTGGGCTGCCTTGGGAGCTTGGTGGAGGGGGGCCACCTGAGCTTGGCCTCTCTCAGCTGACGACGGTGGTCATCTCCTCTGGTCAACCTGCCCTGAAATACCTGGCGTGACGCGCCTCATGGGACGCTCTTTCGACTGCACCTGTTTGAGGTGCCTCCCGTCTTTCCACGGATCGTCATAAAGCCTCGCACCATGGTTCTCGGTCCCTTCTCCCCCAGCGCCATCCTGACGCGCCTGTGGACGCGACACCAACGCCACGAAGAAGCACGATCACTGCGCATGCGAGAGAGGATGGGTTCGACCAAGTTCTTCGGCTCCCAGGTCGGCGGCCAGACCGTCATCAACTATGCCTACACGGATCTCCCGTCGAGATTGATGACCTGGGACATCTACTACTTCTTCTACTACGCCTGGGCCCTGCCGTGGATCATCCTGCCCCTGACGCCCTCCGACTCGGGCCATCTCGACGAACTGGCCGTGACGCCGCAGAACATCTTTTGCGTTGCGCTGCACTTGATCCTGTTCATCCTGCAGCTTGTCTTCGTCCTGTCTCTGCCCGCGGCTCTCTTCTTCCCCATCTGGATGGCCGTCGCCTGCTGGGGGGCTTTCCTCGTCTTCAACTGGGCCTTTTGCCTGCTTCTGAATGGCCCCGACATCGAGTACCACTCTGACGAGACGTTTGCCGAGGCTCGTCCCGAGCACGCACACGAGCAGTGGGTGTTTCTCAACGGCGTGGCTGTCGGGTAGGTTTTTTTTTTTTTTTTTTTTTTTACTTTTCTTCTTATTCTCTTTCCCTCTGCTGTTAACCTTGTGACGCAACGTCGGCTGACTGCGAGGTAGCGACCACTGGATGAAGAATAATCTCAATCGACTGGCGTTGACCTTCCAACGTCCCATCCTCGGCATTCACAACCAGACGTCCGGTATCATCTTTGACGTTTTCGAGTGCCTCATCCAACGCAACTTTGGCTACGCCACCTACGACGTGCGCATGGCTTACCGCATCCTCAAGGACAAGCTGTACGACCCGCAGTATTCCAAGGTCATCTTCATCCTGCACTCGCAGGGCGGCATCGAAGGCGGACTCGTGCTCGATTGGTTGCTGCAAGAGCTGCCCCAGGATCTGTTGTCCAAGATTGAGGTCTACACCTTTGGCAACGCCGCCAACCACTTCAACAACCCGCACCGGCACGTCTTTTCCCAGGCTCTCGCCCAGCAGGACCCGGCCGCCGCCGTGACCATGACGACGACCGAGACGACGCAACCAACGCCCGACGGCAGCCCCATCTCGCCGCTGACGAATGCCCCCTCGTTCGATCGCCGCTCCACAGCGTCTCGCCTAGGCGACATGGCAAATGGCAAGGCCAACACGAACGGCGAGTCCAAGACCAACGGCGAGCTGACCAACGGCGAGTCTGACATGAAAGACACGCCCATGACAAATGGCACGTCCAACGGCACGCCCAAGACAAACGGCATGATCAACACGGGCGTCTCGTCGACGCCACGTTCGAGCGGCCCACCGAGCCTGCGTAAAGACGTCTCTTCCCTGACGTCAACGCGCACGTCGACCGCCGCACAGGATCGCGCCCTCGGCCACGTCGAACACTACGCGCACACGACCGACTTTGTGGCGCTCTGGGGCGTGCTGCATTTCTGCACCTCGCTCGCCGCGAACCGCACGATGCCCCGCTACATCGGCCGGCTGTTCGTCCGCGCGTCGGAGCGAGGCGGTCACCAGTTCTGCCAGCACTACCTCGACGGCATGTTTCCGCTCGAGAGAGACCCTGTGACGAACAAGCTGACGCGGTGCGCCGAGGAGAATGAGTTTATGGAGAGCGAAGTACAGGTCGGTGCCGAGGGCGCGGCGGGGCAGAACGCCCGGGAGGCCTTCGAGATTTCGTGGCTCGGTGACACGGGGTTCGGCAGCGGCGAGGTGGGAGAACAGGTCGAGGTGCACGGAGATCAGGTCGGCAGGCACCGGCGCAAGGGGGTCGTCAAGGTCAAGGATCTTTCGCGGCTGTGGATGTACCGCAACGGCATGTCACCGCCTGACGGGCCACCGCTGCTGATCCGCGAGAACGGCATCATTCGGAACGCGACGATGTAGGGGCGAAGAGGATACTCTTCGCACTTTTACAATGCCCAACATGCGACATTCAGCCGCAGCCTACACAGCCAGCCTACTCACCGCACCCTCCCCCTCCAGGTAAAGTGCTCCTTCGGCGCCTTTGCCAGCTCCCTCATGGCCGCTACGTCTGCAGCATTGGGTCCCTCCTCGCGCAACCCGCACTCCACCGCCAGCCGTGCATGCCTCACAGCAAGCCCCTGCTTCCCGAAAAGGCTGTAATTCAGCGCCGCCGTCGTGTACGCCCCCGCCATCTTGCCCTCAAGCCCTTCCTCCTTCATCAGGCCCAGGTACCGCTCAATATCCCTCATCGTCACCTTGGCCGCAACATCACCAAGCCTCGCCTCGAGCGCCTTGATCTCCGCAACCCTAGCATCACTCTCGTCACCACCGGCACACCGACGACACGCACACTCGAAGCCCCACGACCCCGTCATCCGCGCCCTCCTCTCGGCGCGCGGCGCCAGCGCGTCGACGTACGAGATGCTAATCTCCTCCCCGGCCGCAATGTCCTTCGAAGCGAACGCCCGGTGCACGAGGTCCGTCTTGCCCGTCCAGGCCGCGGCATTCGGCCCGCAGTCGTGGTTGAGCCGCGAAATGGCCGGAAACACGCCGAAATGGTGATGATGCCCGCCCGCCGCGTCGCCGCCGACGTCGACCTGGAAGGCGTTCGTCGCGACGATGCCTCGCACCGAGCCGCCCATCTGGCGCAGCAGGGCACGGCGCGCGGCCGCCGGCAGCAGGGCGGGGATCTGGTCGTAAAGGATGGCGGCGTCGGCGGGGGGCCGCTCGAAAAAGGCGCGGTGGACGAGGAGCACGGGCGGCGAGGCGATGAGCGGGGTGCCCGCGGGGATGGGCGCTTGCGCGACAAGGCCGACGCCCTTGCCCGGCATGTCGACGGCTGCGAAGAGGGGCTCCGGGAGCGGTGGAGGGGGCGGCGCGGCGGCGAGGGTGTGCTTGAGGTGCGCGAGGGCCGGGCCCGTGGTCAGCAGGACGATGCCGCGGGAGTGGGCGTAGCCACGGTTGTGGTAGAGGCAGTAGAGGCCTATACATTGTGTGCCGCCGCGCCACTCGTATGGATGTGATGTTTGATTTTGAGGGGGTGCTTGTGTGACGGGCGGAGCGTGAGATGCTGCTGGTGGTGGCGGCCAGCGTTGGCAGGCTGAATTTGTGAGAAGCGGCGTTGAAGGACACGCATCCACGACAGGATGGATCCTCCAAGACTGTTGCATGGATAGAGTCGCATCTGCTGACACAAGCCCTGCGGCCAGGACACTGGTGAAGGCGAAGAAGCCTTTCATTCTCGATGATGAGCGTCACGCGGTGTGTTGTTCAAGTACAGACGAGTTGACAGCAGAAGCTTGAGATGAGCGAGATGGGATGAAGGCGATTCAAGTAGTCACCATACTCTATTGCATTCATAGCAGTGCGTCAACGCAGCTGAAACACTGCAACAAGGCTTGGATGCGTCATTGGTCGCCTCCTTGAAACAAACACGGACGTCGATCGTGAATAGGGGCACGGCGCCCATTGGCTGCTCGTCGCTGACCGAAAACCGGGCTCGGTGTATCTCGGTAAGACCCAGTTGATCTCGACATGCCAGTACGATTACTACGAAGGCTCAGATACATGAGGTATCTGGCTCACACCGTCTCCTGGGAAGACTCTTTTGCTGGTGGCGTCTCGAAAGCAGCTTCATCTGAGCCAGTGTCTTCCTCGGTCCTTTCCTTCGCATCCTTTACCTCCATTTGCTCTGGCGCTTCAACCGTCTCGTAGCCCAGCGGTCTCGCGAAGCTGAACCACCGTAGCAGGGTAGGCACATACGCCCGTACCATCAGGAACTGCAAAACGTACCTCATCATCTGCAGGATGAACACACAGATGTCCCTCATCCACTCGTTCAGGTCCGTCCGCAGCATGATGCCCACGTTCTTCCACACGGCCCTCTCATCCGCCACCTGGTCGGCCGTCAGCCGCAGGTCAGCCCTCTCGACCCGCTGTCGCAGGAGGCTGTAGTAGCCCTGCGCCACCTCGCCCAGCACGGCCTCGAGCGCCCTCCTGTTCCGCGGGTGCCAGACCTGCGCCGCCCGCGCGAGCGCGTTGCCCCGCCGCCGCAGCAGGTGGTTGATGGCCGCGGCCGGCGGGTACGCGAACAGCCCGTCGAGGCACTGCCCGCCCACGACGAACGGCTCGCCCTCCACGACGGAGCCGCGCCGGTGCAGCGAGGCCGGCCGCTTGAACTCGGCCACGGAGTACCCGCACTCGATGACCCGCGGGTCCGCCGGGCGGAAGAACAAGACCTGCATGGCCGTGAAGACGTTCTTCGTCCCGCCGTCGGTGTAGAAGACGTAGAAGCTCGTGCCCATGTCGTCGTCGCCGTCGTCGCCGCCGCGCTCGTGCCCTGCCGTCGCGTTCGCCGGCGTCACGCGCGGCCGGTCTAGCCAGCGGCCAAAGTCCACCAGGCTGCCGATGCGGTGCAGCGCGAACGGGTCCGACGGCAGGTTCAGGTCGCGGAGAAGATAGCGCGTGGTGACGTCGTAGCAGTTTGTCGTGACGTTGTTGGCGTACATCAGACCCTCGAGGTCGCGCGGCGCGAGGTACGAGGGGAGGCCCAGACGGGTCGTGTTGAGCTCGGAGAAGAAGGTGGCCGTCGCAAAGCCGAGACCCTCGGTGGCCGTCGTCTTGAAGAGGTTCTGGCCGAGACGGAAGGGCTTGTCGTCTCCCTGTTCCATGTCCCTGGTGCTTTCACCGTGTCTTGACCCGGGCCGGTGCCGTGGTGGCGACGAGTATCGCTGGCCTATCTTCCCCGTGCTTGTCTCGAGGAGAGCGTCGAGTTCGCCGAGTTGCTCGGCAGCAAGGTAGAGGGCGCTGTTCCGGAGAAAGGTCGGTACAGGTTGGCCCTCGACTCCATATTCCGGTTCCGCCGTGCGATGAGGATTGGCGACCCTCTTCTCCGTCAGACCGTAGTAGAAGGTTTCATTGAGGGCGGAGAGGGGGTATGAAGGCCCCAGGGGCACGATGGTTCCTCCCCAGGGCAGCCCAATGGTCGCCACGATGGCGGCGACGATCGCCAGCGCAATCGGCGCAAGCAATGCCTTCCTCGTCGCTGGGCTCTGTCGCTGCCAGGCGGGCCATCGTGAACGCAAGATGGGACGGAGCCGCAATCCCTGTTTCAAGGCGTGGGCTTCAGACAACAGGAGAAACTCTTCGCAGGTCCTGGCCATGCGGACTAGGAGATAGAAATACGCCAGACCAACCAGGCAGCACATGACAACCCACAAGACTGGGTTGATGTGCTGCCAGTTCGACCCCATGGTGTGGTATCCGCCGGTCACTTCATGCTCCCTCCGCGAGGTGGCCGCGCGGAGGATTGTGAGAAATCTGGCCAGGAGCGGCACGGCGTTGATGGCGTAGAGGCCAATCTGGCATTGGCACAAGAACCACGTATAGCCCATTGAATTTCGCTATCGCACACTCATGAAGTTGAGACCCAGGAATAGGTATGTTGCTGCATACGGTCAAGAAAACGAGAGCATCAGCTTTTTCTTTTGGTCCGCTGCTAGTGGAAGGGGTTGGCTTTTATCGGCAGCGAGGGGCCGGACGGATTGTTCTCACGGCAGCAAGGTGCCGGCTTGCTCAGATGCAGCTTGGCGACGAAGCGAAATTGGCCTCAACTGAAGTCGCAGTGGCTTGTGATCTCGGTAGGCTCGGTGAATGATTCTTGTATTTCGATCAGAATGTATTTCGGTTAGAAATCTAGGCATGTCAGACTCTAGTCAAACCACCCCGTCCCCTGCTCGTTGGCCTCCAAATCGTTTCGAGTATCAAAAATTAATGTAGAATGCTCTACTGTTGGAAGAACGACGGATGCGCTACGCCGTGACGACGCCGTACCAGGTAAGCCCGAGCACGGCACCCATGACGATGACGACGGGCGGGTTTACGCCGAATGAATACCCAAAGACAAAACTCGACGCCGTGACAACCACCCACCACGGTTCCTGCGCCAAGCTTGTTCCCTGCTGGAAGTCTTGGTCGATGTAGCCAATCTGCCACAATCTGTAGACGGCTGTGTATATGAGCCCAACAGCACCGGCATTGACACCTCTCAGCAGCGACTTGACCCATCGCAGACCACGGATGGCGCTCCAGATGCCCATCGTTCCGTGCACGGTGATAAGGCCGGGAGCGAATATGCCGATGTAACCAAGCACCGCGCCGGCGGCCGAGCTGTAGCCTCCGTTGATTGCTGTCAGTGCGCCGAGGTAGACGGCGAAGTTGAAGTTGGGGCCCGGAAAGCTCTGCTGGATGGCGAGGCCGATGAGGAAATCGCGGGGGCTGACCCAGCCTTCGGCGACAACGTACTCTCGCAAAAGGGGAATGACCACGGGACCTCCGCCAAAGATGATCGTTCCGGCGAGGTACATGTTGGCGAAGAAGCTGTAGAGAAGCGGTTTCGTGGGCAGCACGCCGCGGAGGACCATGACCACCGTGAACGTGATGAGGAAGAAGACAATGATGGCAAGACCAATGGCCCAGGAGAAGTCCAGAACACGCTCTGTCGGGACCACCCGAGGCTCTGTCTCGGCTTCGGAGCGTTGGTTCTCAGTAATGGGGAGGGTATCGACCGCGTCGTTGCGGTTCGGTGGCGCCTCGTGCTCTCGCGAGACAGCGCTACTTCTATCGTCCCGTTGCGTTTCCGGTAATTCTATAGACTCATTCTCTGGGGCACGGCTCTTTTGTCGTGGATTCTTGACCAGTTCCAGCACACCTTTGGCGAGGGGATGAAGCCAGCGAAAGTCATACACAACCGTGACGACACCTGCCACAAGCATCAGGAGGGGAAAATACCACAACGCGTTGTAGAGAATCCCAGCTGCGCCTGCGACGAGGACAATCATGCGGGTCAAGGGATCAGTGATGGCCTTTTCTGATAGCTGAACAGCCGCAACAGCAATAATGCCCACGGTCGAAGCGTTGAGACCGGAGAGCAGGGCGTAGACTGGGCCAGGCAGGGAGTCGCCAACGTTGGAAATCCCGACGGAAAGGCCGTACATGCCGAGAGCGCCAGGCAAACTGCCAAATCAGATCAGCACACGCGCGCACGCATGGTGGCTATGTCGAGTTGAGCATAGTACCTCCAGATAAAAAACCCCAGCAAGGCAGAAAGGAACCCATCGTGGATCAGGTTAATGCAGTAATGCATCTTGGTGCTGCCAGGTCCAGAGAAGGCCTGGCACACGCTGAAAAGCTCTTGGTACTATGTCATTCTTTAGAACAAGTTTCGGCTGCACACCACGAGACTTACAATTTGTTCATCGATCCATCCCAGCTTGACCACAAATTTCTCGCGGAGCTACAAGAAGGACCTTCATCAGCATCCAACGCCTCAAACCCTCCTCGTCGCCTTCCTCGTCAACCCCTTCAATTGGGACATTCCGTAAGTGGTGAGACTCACAATCTTGAAATGCACTGGCGGGCCTCCAAAGGCAGTGAAGCCCAAATGATAGTTGGTCCTGAACGTGCTCCACAGTTTCTTGGAAACACGGGCTGTCCGCCAACTTGTGCTCCCTCTGATAGCCATCACCGCTCCTGGGTACCTAGCGATGCGTGTGCGTACGTCTGGATAACAGTAAGAAATAGAATTGAGAAGACTGGATGCATTCAAAATCGGGACGCATCTGGTGTTGGGGAGAGAGAAGAGGGCCGCATCAATGCGTTGAGATTCTATTGGCCGCCCGTGGTTGGGTGTTATGGCCTTGGACCATTTAGCCTGCATCTATATGCCAATCGTGAGAGCAGAGCAAAGCACGTGGAATGGCGGAGCATGCTTGGCATCACGTGCGGCCTCAGAGAATTTATTCCCTGAGCAATATTCACTCTATCAGTCCGGCCAGAACTGGATTGCACGTCTGTTGTCATAAGATGTGTGCTGACCCTGAAGCAACTTCATTTTTTTGTCGGTAGGTTTGACATTTGCCAAGTCAACCACGAAATTGACCAGATCCAGAGGTCAAGTGGGTGATAGATCATGTATGCGACTGACATGGCATATTAGACTTAAGCTGGTGTCCTTTATCTTTCATAGAACACTTCGTCGCGCTATGCATTCGCTTTTCTATATGGGCTTTTTTACTGAGGAGAATTTAAGTACTACCATGCCAAGTACAAGGTGAGGACACTCAGTACAATTCGCGATCACGTCGAATTACAGAACGAACTTGGTCAACAGAAGCTTATCGTAATTCATCACCTATCAAAAATCCGAGCCCAGCGAAAACAGAACCAGGCACCGTGTACGCCACCGCCGAAGCAAACTCGTCGCCCGACGGTAAACCCTATTTCCTAACCGTCCAGGGACGCCTTGACCAGCCAGGCCCTCCCGGGGGTGTACGATTTAGTACACGTAGAACACATTCGTCTCGTTCTCGCTCGCGCGCAGCGCCCTGTTCCTGCGCTTCATGATGATCTTGGCGAGCCAGGCCAGCGCGGCCGTGGCGATGCTGAAGGCGGCGCTGCTCATCATGGCAATGAGGTAGCGGGGCTCGTCGCTCTTGGGCCACAAGTAGGGGGTCCAGATGAAGCTGATGTTCATAATGGTCGTGACCATGCCGATGGCGACGGCCTTCTTCTCCTTGGTCTGACCGCAGGTGCTGCCGCACCATCCGAGGATGAGCGAGTTGACGCCGTACGTTCCTGGGGGTTGGTGTTAGCATTGAAATGGCTTTTGCGACTTCGTGAGGGGAGTGATCACGTACCAATAGTGAAGATGACCATGGAGGCATAGCGGCCGCCGACGTTGTTAACGGCGGCAGCGGCAACGAAACCGACGGTGGCGACGGCCTTCGAGATGGTAATGTGCCAGGTGCGCTCGTTGAAGCGGCCAGAAGACCAAGACACGGCGATGGTGACGGCGCCGGCAATCAGGTAGGGAGGGCAAGTCAGCACAAGGGTGATGGTCTGGCCGAATCCGAGGGTCTTGACGACGGAGGGGAAGAAGTTCTGCTCATGTTAGCCATTGTCACAAGGGACCCCAAAAGACGAAAAAAGCGTACCTTGAAACCGTTGGCAGCGAGATGCATGTGAGCCATGGCGCAGAAGATCCAGACCATGGGGTCGCGGCAGGCTTCCTTGAGACCCTTGGTGAGACCAGTCTGGCCCTCGTTGGAGACGGTGTCGAGCTCAATGCGGTTGTGCGCAAGGTTGCGCTCCTCCTCGGTGAGCCACTTGGTGGTCAGGGGGAAGTCGGGAAGGACGAAGTAGCCAACAATAGCAATGAGAAAGGTGACGGCACCCTGGAGGATGAAAAGCCACTGCCAGCCAGCGAGACCACCAGCGCCGTCCATGCCGTGGAAAACACCGGCGGCGATGAGACCAGCAAAAGCCGTGGCAAGGATGTTGCCAGTGTAGAGGATGGCGATTCTGGTGGCGACCTCCTTACGGTTGTAGAAGATGGACAGGATGTAGACGGCGCCGGGGTAGTAAGGAGCCTCAGTGAGACCGAGGAAGAAACGGGTCAGGAGAAGACCAATGTAGTTGTGGGAGAGCGCGGTGAGGGCAGAAACGATGGCCCAGAGCATCATCATGATACCCTAGATGTGTGAGCGGCGATTCACGCAGAAAACTTCGACCGGGACATACCATGTAGCGGGAAGGCCTCGTTCGGGTAAGGAACATGTTGGAGGGGATCTGACCCAGGATGTAACCGACGAAAAGAATAGACACGCAGGTCTGGTACTCGGTGCCGGAGAGGTTGAGGTCATCCTCGAGGTCGTTCAGGCGCGCCAAAGCGATGGCGTTACGATCAAGATAGTTGAGCCAGTACATAGACCAAAGCATGGGCTGGCGGTTGGGTCAGCAATCACCTTTCCAGACGCGTTGTGACCAGGCACATACCATGATCCAGCGGTCGAGCTTCTTCACGAGAGCAATCTCCTTAGGATCGGTCTTCTCGTGGGCACCAAACTGATCAACCTTCTCGACGCGGGGGACAGGCTTCTCTGGGCCGCCATCGTCGAACATGCCAGACTCGTTGGTGCGAGCATGCTCGATCTCAGCCTGACGGGTCTTCTCGTCGGCCGACATGTTTGCGATGGTATTGATGAGGTAGGAAAGAAGGTTTCAAGGATGGAGGAAGAGAGAGAAGTGACCAGTCACTACCAATGATCAAGAGAAGGGTGATGCTTCGTCTTGTCTGACATGAGAGACTTCTTGGGAACTGAAGGGGAATCTCCTAGATATAGGTTTTCCAGCCCGCCTTGCCCATCCCCAACCATTCCCCAGACTACGACTCCAAAGACTCCTCTTCCCCAGCTGACACTACTGCTACCCCATGTCTCCATTACGCTGGTTACGCTGAATCGCGCTATGTTCCCCGCGGGGGTGGACGTGGTCCATGTGGAGCGAAACGAGGAAACAAACGAGATGGAACGCTGATCCGTGTTCCACACGAGAGATGAACAGAAAGCAGCCGTGGCGGCGGCTTGCCCCCGACTCCATCCGACAAGCGTGCCCATCCGTGCCACCATCATGGCACACCCATCGTTGGATGCGATGGAACATGAACAAACCTTCACGCTAGCACGAGTCGGGCCTGCCGTCGGGCCAAGCAAACGTGCAGCAAACAGCCGCATCACGACCCTAGTGTTGGTCTTGGCAGCGTCAAGACTATGTTCAGCCTTCTCCGGTGCGAACGAACAGTGACACACATTGCGCGCACGGAAGAAGCAGGCGATCGTGCGCGATGATCCAAAACCATGCTGAAGAAGGTCGAGTCGCCGACCATCCCAACGTACCCGGGCACGCAACACCAAGCAGTCCGGGTTTCGCACTTGGCAGCCAAGACCAACAGGGATGCCGACGTCCCCAGGGTGCCCGTGATGCTGTGATGCCCTGACTCGCCCGCCGCTGCCAGACGACACCCCCCCTGCCGCTCCCGCACGCGGCATTGTGGGGGATGCTCGAGCTTCTGGTATTCTAGCGCTCAGTCTAGGACCCGACGGCGTCGGTCCTGTGGCCATTGGGAGAGAAGACCGCTTTGGCGCCCGCAGACGACGACCCAACAGAGGCTGTAGTGCAACCTCTTGGGTCTCCATGCCCGTGCGTATGGTGTTGTATCGCCCACCTTGGCCGTCTGGCGCGTGAGGTTGTGAGGGGCAGAAGACGAAGGAGGCTGGAGGATGCTGGGTTCAACGCATGTGCAGTGAGATTGCGCCGATTCCACCTCCCCGCCCCCATGTATTCTTCTTTTCGGTGTGTCAAGTGGTTACTTTTCTTTGAATGCTATTTCGTAGCATAATCCTCAATTGCGACATGATCTCCCAAAACAGGTGGCACCAGCACATCGCATGTCTCTCTTGGCAGCCGCTGTGTGATGCAATGTCGGCCTGTCCGTTGTCCTGATGTGCCGTCCATGATGATCACGCAGAGCACAAAGACCAGTGACGTCTCTTAGCCATCTGCGGGATGACAGAGGTGGACCATGGCATCTCACCAACGAGAATGTCTCATCTGGAACTCGAGGGATCGATCTGCACCATCCGACGGCCTGCGGCGGTGCACCATGGGGTTAGAGATGGTACCCCTTGGAGAAAGGATCATCGATCATCTCGCAAAGGCAAAGCGTTGGAAATCAGGCGCTGTAACTCGTTGGTGCGGCAGAATAGCGTGAACTGGCGCGAACATGGCGGCCAGTAACACCAAGTCCAGTGGTCAGCTCAGCCGTCTGCTGGAACCGTCTGGTGCTACTCGCACTAGGTCGATAGCTGGAGTACGACCCCCGTCCCCAGGGAGCAATACGATCAGCCAACCTTGAATTAAGCTTATGCCCAGCACGGCCGGTTGCTGCCACAGGTACCTAGGTCGGTTCCATAGGAGGTGGATCAGGCATGTTGGAGTTTGGCTTGCCCCGACCGGTTGCAGCGTGGCGGCCACACATTTCTCGTACCTACATGTGCTCCCTTCACTACGTTCCCCGCGTATCCGTCTCACCGGAACATTAAGGATCATGGTCGCGAAGTCTGTTGTCTCGAGAAGCCGCGAAATTATCGTCCGTTGGTGGCCATCCAGACCCAGATCGACGGCAGTTGACTCTGTCATGCCACATTTACGCCTCATCCGTGGCGACCTTTACCCTACATGGGTTTCTGCCGACGCTTTAGCACACTAACGCGAACGAGGCACGTTCCACGCTGCATGGAAGGGAAGCGAGGCCAGCCGTGTCTCGAGTGCTCCAGCCAACGATGCTCAGAGGCGGGGAGCGAGCAAGACGAAGGGTGACCACCTCTCGGAGGGACCCGTACCCGGAACGTCAAGGGCTCACCGCTGCGGCTCCATAACAAGACGAAGAGTCAGCACAACAGTATTCCTTGCATGAGAGCAAATACCGCCGCGCTTGGACTCGACTGCCAGCTGGTGGGGACGACGAACCAAACCAGCGCGATCACACCTCATACCCCCCGGAGAAGTAGTCACGGCTCGTGCCAGGTACCATCCAATGCCACCTAAGCGTAAGCAACCTGGTCCATAAAAAAAAGGGAGCCCTTGGTTAGGGCGAAAAGACCACGCAGGACACTGCACGAAAGGGGCAGGGTACGGAACATTCCCAGAACCTTTGTCCCCCGCACGGCTGTAGTCTTCGTAATTTGCTGGCTGCTGGGGAAAACCACAGGCCTCAAGATTGACACACTCGTGGTGCTTCACGGATAATCTGAGAAGAACAGAACAACAGACGTCTGTTGTCTCGAAGCTCTGACCGTGGGGGGGGCGAGAAAATCATCTCTGGCCGCTCAGCAGCCTATACTTAGAAGCACGCTGAACAGAGATGCGGTGAGACGATCTGCTGCTTCCATTGCCTGGACTGGTAATGTCTAAATCAAGAACGTGACGGTGCTGGTGGTGGTAGTGTTGATAACACTTCAGACGAATGTTTCTCGCTTCCCCCGACTTCCTTTGTCTTGTCTGGCTTTGCCCTGTGCGACAGAGGCCATGCCAACGTTTCCGCCTAGTCGCTCGTGCCTCCTTGCGGCCCCCATCCACTGCCCCAGTCCTCTCTCTGTCTCTTCCCCCTCACATGACCTGATGGTGCCCTGGCGTTGGTTGCCCCTCCTCATTTTCCCCTCCCTCTAAACTTCCCCGCACTCCACAGGAACTATATTTTCAGTCAATCTCCATAATAGTAGACAGCAACATAGTGAAGCTGGTGTCGACTCGGTGGAACCCGGGTGACTTACCGGGGCGTTGCGGAGCCTGAGTGGGCCTCCTCTTCAAGTTGGAACAGTGGGTTGGTCCGAGATGTTCTCTGAGCATTCTTGGCGAAGACGACGCGAGCCTCATAACTTGCGGAGTAGAAACCGAGCCCCGTACGGCCACAACGTCGCTCGCTTGGGTAACCAGGGTCTGTCCGAGTGCAAGTGTCAGCGAAAAGGGGGCGGCTCAACAAGCCAAGCCGGAGCTTCTCCTCACGACGTCGCGGAGCAATGCTCAATTTGGAGGCCCGATGGATCGCGGCCTTCGTCGCGCTCCCTCAACGCGCGAAGCGCCTCAGGCGTATAGACCCAAGTATGCGGCATGCTTTGTGATGTTGACGCCACTGCTCAGTCATTGCGCGATATATCGAGATTGGGCCTCCACGTTGCTTTCCCTTGAACTAGCCAAGAGTATACTTTCATAGTATTTTCGAGTTGAGGCCATTGGGTGACGCGCTGAGGGGGGTTTCCCAGCTCCTTTGGGCCGAGTCTGAAGTATCACCAACGTACACCCCACCCAGCGTCCCGTAATACCTTCGTGCTGAGATTTGGCTGCACATCTCAACCGATTTATATTCGTGAACGACGTGGGGTCATGACTTGGCTTTACTCCCCTGTAAGCAAATACTTGCGCTCACCGAGTGCCCCCCCCCCTGAATGTTTCGGTCGTGCCCGGAGATGCCAGGGGCTAACCTATTGCCAGGTAGATTCTCGAGTTGAGGCTCAAGGCAAAAGCCGGAATACTTGACGACATCTCGTCGATTCTAGCAAGAAGGGCTCTTCTGCCCATTTCAACACAAGTATGGTGCTGAATCATGATGCTCGGATTTCGCCCCCCTGTAGAGGTTCGCCGGCCACGCCTGCGCCCGTCGTAACTGGCGAGCTCGGTCTTAGACCTGTGTCGGCCTCTCCGCAAGCTCGCATCGCCCGGCAAGGGCGGCAAGAGACAACGCCATGAGACTGCAGGCTTTGAGGCTGCTATGCCTCGCGTCTTGGCCAGGCGAAGCTTGACGAAGCGAAGAAAAAAGGGGGTGTGATGGTCGTCGCGCCTTTCTCGATGAGTGCATACCTGCTTCGAAGCATCAAGATCGGTGGCGCGATAGTCAAACCCAAAGGGCAACCGACCTGGCCCTGAGATCAAGCTTGATGCCAGTGCTGGAAGTCTTGTTGGCAGCATGCCCCCCCGGACTTCAGCTCGATGGCCCGGTCGTCGCCACGTTGGCAGGATGTGTGGAAGGCTTCATTAGCCCATGCGATGGTTCGCCAGGGGGGAACAAGGATAAACGAGGAGGAGCAAGTTCAGGCATGAGAAGCCAACTTCTTTGGGCCCATGTGCCTGTTCGTCCATTCTGTTGTCCTCTGTCGGGGTCTCCTGGAGCCCCCGGAGTAGTGCTATGCGTCTGGGTTTGCCCCATTCTCCTCCCCCTTTTCACGTCGAAGACCATCTCCTTGCCCATCGCTTCACCCTCGCCATATCTACCAAGACGAAAGCCAGCACCGTAACAGGCAGGGCAACACAGAAGTATACCCAGTACGTCCCCCTCAAGGAGGAGACATCCTCTGACATGCTAAAGAAGCCTGTGACAAACGACAGTGGTGCGAAAACGACGGCTAGATAGGTCAGCCGGCCTAGGTCCTGGTTCAGGCTATACCCCCTCCGACTCTCCTCGATCGATATGATTGCTGTTGCAACTGCCACGATCCGTTCTATACGTTGAAGCAAAGTATCGATGCCCTCTTCAACGACACGATAATCCTCCTTCAGGGATAATGTGTACTCTGACAAGGGACCATTGCTGCTGTTGAATACCTTGGCTGTCGCCTCCTTGATCAGCGTCTTGTACAATGGTACACTGCGCCGCCAAGGATGCAGTTTGGCCAAACTGGAGTTGATGCCACTGGGATCGCGACGAAAGTCAGGATTCTCCAGCTCCCATTCGACTTGTCCGAGGCGAGTGGTGATGTAGCGGATGACTGTCAGCCACTCGGCGCAGACGATCTGTGATAAACCTCTCAGCATGATGCGAGGGTCAGCACCCATCTGTGCCACCTCAGCCCCCTCCATCCTGGTAACCCAGTACACCACTGCCTCGAAAAGAGATGTTCTCGGTGGTGCTTTGAAAGGGCCGCGAGCTGATATGGACGGCGTAGGCTCAAAGTTGCGATATCCAGCCCACAGTGGTGACCCTTCCTTGACAGACGGGTCGACGAGCAGCACTCCTGAATGATCGTCAGCTGCCAAAATACCCTCTATACTGGATCACACATCCCCCATTACTCACCGATGGCCCCTCGATCTCCCTCGGCTGGCTTCCACCAGAACGAAGCCTTGCTTCTCACCAACGCCACAAGTGCGCCCTGTTGATCAAGGAGTGTTTTGTGATTCTTGTCATTGTCTGCCCTCCGCAACACGTTGAATCGCCCTGCCTCCTTGGTAGCCTCGGCGAACGAAGCTTGACTGTCGAAATGCCTCGGCTGGAGATATCCTACGTGGAAGAACCGCCGCCTCCGCGAGGCGACCTGCAGATCGGGCAGCTCGACCCATGGGTCACGGGTGTTGTACCACCAGTAGTCGCTGATCTGTTCTCGGAAGAAGAGCGGATCAATATCTAACGCAGCGCCAAGCGTCTCGACAACGTCGCGCGACAGGTCCTCGACCACGTACAAGCGGTGGACGTCGGGCTGCACCGGCGCATTTTGCAGCGAGTTGGACAGCGCGTCGGGGCTTGTGGCGGTGTGAATGGCGGGGGCAGCGCCGGGCGCAAAGTCAACGACGGCGACGTTGGTACGGCTGGCCCTCTCCTTGCGGATCACGGCCTGCTTTGCTTTGATGTGGCTCCATTTGACTGGCGAAGTCGTCACCTCCATCCAGTGGGCAAGATACCGCAGGTGAGGCCAGGCGTGCGACACGGCCTTGATGTGATCCAAGTAGGGACGCTTGATGCTGATGAAGTGTCAGTTGCCAAACCATGAATCGCGGAGCGTCTGGTCAGTGACAAGAAAAATTGTGTGATCTTCTCAATCCCATTGTTTTCCTGCCGGATTAATCACTTACTTGTCACATAGTTCCCACTCCTGAACGCATTCTGCTGGCGTGGTATCGTAGACATCGCCGATATAATAGGGGTCGCCCGCCTCAATTGAATGCGGAAGTACGAGGTTGCCGTCGAGCGTGTCACGGATTTTCTCCCGATACTTCTCATGATCCGCGAGCGGCAACATGTGCCGTGGGGAGGACATCACGTTGGCGGGGAAGTGCTGATGGTTTCGCCAAGTGGATCAGTCTCAACTGTAAAATTGAAAAGCTGGCGGTCGTCGTTGTCTTCTCCGAGATACGAGGACGCTCATCGGCCTGGTTGCACAGCGATCTCATGTGTATGGGGCAAGCTATCTTGGCCAGCGAGTTCAGGTGCACAAGGCTGAATTCCACTCGGCAATGAGGAGGCCGCCCGCCTGCAGATGGGACCCCCACAAGCGATGACCTGTCGGCTAGAACGGAACAGCCATTGACTGACTGGAGCATCTGCCTAATAATCGCGACTCTAGGCTTATGCACGAAGGCTGTGTCTTCGACCAATTGGCAGGCGCTAAACTGGAACCTTTTCGCAGGAGTGAGGCTGAGTCGTGCAACAATGAAATACATAATCGTGTTCATCCGATGATAGAAATGACGGGAGGATCAGAATAATCTATAGAGTCGACAACTACTACACATCTTCGTTTGTCAAACAAATAACTTTTGTCAAACAAATACCTTTTGTCAAACAAATACCTTTCCTGAGAACTCAACATGACGGTCTCAAATGCTAGTCTCGAAGAGCAGAATTGTGTGGATCCAGCCGAAGCCCAGAAACCGCAAGAAGTCGGAAATGATTCGCGGAACGAGACCGGTCCACGAGCGGCGAACCTCAATAGTTGGAATAAGAACTCCAACTTTTGGGACACGACCCTCGGCGAAGGCAACGATATGTTCACGCAGCTCATCCTGCCAACCATAGAGGAGCTCGCAGAGGTGCAACCCCATCATCGAGTGCTGGATCTGGGCACAGGCAACGGCATCGTCGCCCGAAGACTTGCTCGAAGAGGCGTTGCCGTACTAGCAACCGATTACAGCCCCCAGCAGATCGAAAACGCCCGAAAGCGTAGTCAAGATTTGGGTCTGGCGATAAGCTATGAACTCCTGGATCTCCTGAGTCAAGATGCGCTTGATGCATTTGCAGCCGAGCATGCCGAGTACGTGCCTGTAGGGTTATGTATCTTCTGCTTTCTAGGCTAATGTGTGGCAGGGAGTTTGACGTAATTACGGGAAGCATGTTGCTGAAAGAGCTCTCGGATCTGACAGAGCTTTCGAAATTCCTGCCAAAAGTGCTGAAACCTACTGGAAGGTATGCCTATATCACACAAGTGCGTTTGCTGTTGAATATAGGCTCACATCCGCAGAATAATCATGGCGAACTTGCATCCATGTTTTCATAAGCCCGGAGCGCATCGCATCGTTGAGGTCATCGAAAATCAAGACACTGGTGTCCAGGAATTTCACACGTCGATCAAAATCTCTAAGTACCTAAATATTGGCCCTGTTCAGAGTCAAGCACTCCGAGGGCAGCCCGAACCACTTGTGAGTCGACACAGAAGGGGAAACTTCAGTTAGCAACTGTAGTTGGTTTTAGAGGTTCGCACTGACGCTCGGCAAGATTTGGTTTCACCGACCCATTCACCAACTACTCGAACCTTTCTTCGATGCCGGTCTTCTCATGAACAAAGTGAGAGAACCATCTTTTGACGATGGTGGCGATCCCGGACAAGCACAGTCTTATCACAATTTCCCTCAAATACCCATGCAGTTCATCTTCCGGCTTGTCAGAACCTCATGAGATGACAGCAAAAGGGAATGTTTTTGTTTGCAACAGAGAAGAAGTGGAGTTCATGCTTGAAGAGAAGATTTGCATCCGCGAGTTGCGAATTGCAAGCTTTAATAGATACTTCAAAGGTATGGCCTGTCGATAACGGCGGTGCATAGATCCAGCTTGGAGACTGGAGGTGGATATACCTAGCATATCAACATCTTTAGAAAGCTTACTGACTGATATGCCGCTGCTCTACTATTCTCATGAACATGAAAATAAGTTATGCGCGAACGCCAGCTTTATGACTGCTTCAAACCTGGAGCGATAGACAGGAGACCCGACACACGGCTGCCATGTGCTCAGAATACAGTTCACCCATGCAGTGCGATTAAGAGTTTTTTCATCAGTAAGGGACCGGTCAAGGGCACATTCAATGAACAGAACACTTTCTCCAAACAGGGCCTCGAGACAGGCCAAGACACCACAGATGAGATGCCTCATCTGGTGAGTTTTGTGACACTCTATATACTGATACCCTGCTGTAAGAACTAACAGCGATGTGCTCCTTGACGTTCGTTATCACGGAACACAAATGACTGAGCTGCTTTAGATTGATACCTGCAACCTATCTCCGACGAACGCCTCGGGACGAGTACTAACGCCTGTTACAAGAATACGCATACCGCCATGACTCAAGTGATGTAGAGCTGGGGCGAGACATGATCAAGACATGTCTCCTCAACCGCCGTTAATGCATTCCTCGGCAGCTAGTCGGATTCTGAGTGGCCGATTTGCCATCATCCAAAGATATTCTCATCTGACGAGTTTTATTTCCACACTTGAACTTCGTTCTGTTCCGGCTTCTTTCTGTTCGTAATCTGGCATCTATGAAATACATTGAATGTCAATGCCTGTTCTGCTTGTATATAGCTTGAAACTTTGTCATAGGTGTATCTGATTTAACGCTAACTTTTGCCATCCGAATTACCGCATTCTTCGGCACATTTGTCCACGTGGGCAGTGAAACAGATACAGGGACCGTGCTATGGCAAAACCCGTGCCAAAGGAATTCAAAAAATGAAAGAGCCTGCGAAAATGGCAAGATCAGACAGAACAGCATGGCTCTGGTCCATTCATGTCTGCTCTTGTCTTATCACGCAACTGAACTCACGGAGGAGACGATTGAGAGTTACTTATGAGTGCGAAGACAAGAACCTCAAGAATGCTATCTTTCCTACTCCGAGACACTAGTTCCCGCTGATCAACTGATATAAATATCATGGGGTTGTGCCTCCCCGGAGGAACTCCCTTCACTCCACAGAACTCCATTGATCTCTCTCTTTTGCCTACTACACTCCATCAACCTCCTCCATTATCTATTCACTATCCAAGATGAGATTCTCTATTGCGACGATTGCCCTGTTTGCTGGAGCTGTCATGGCACACCCAGCCAACCTCGAAACATCCCTCGAAACGCGTGAGATGCGCACCGCCTGCTCTGGCCTCCTTCACGGCACTCCTCTCTGCTGCTCCACCAGTATTCTTGGACTGGCCGTTCTAGACTGCTCTACGCGTACGTTGTTCGATGGTCTATCTGCGGCGCTTCGATTCGCTTCAAGAAATACCCCAATTGCAACTCGTGAGCGCAACTAATTCGTTCTTCCAACAACAGCAAAGAGTGCCAGGAACGGCGAGGATATGAGGCGGAACTGCAACGGAAAGCAGCCCCAATGCTGCACCCTGGGAATCAGCGAAATTGCCCTTCTTTGCCAGAGGCCCATCGGAGCTTAATACAACGCCATGCCGCGCGGCAGTAATGGTGGAAGCTACGGCTCGCAGTATACTCTGTCTTTTCTTCTCTCAACCGAGTCCCTCGACTCGAAATACACGAAAATCTTTAGCTCGCTCTATAGGAGAAATGTCGGGAATTTTGTCCTTGGTCTCGCACGGCATGTCACAGATTGCACGCTTTGCGGGCGTCTTAAAAATAGAAAATTGTCTTCTATTGATATGGTCCCTCCCTACGTTTAAGATTGCGTGGGGTTCCATTTTGCCGTTCAGACCTGGGCGACGATCTGTAGAACTATAATCTGACAGAAAGGCACGAGTCTGTCATTCTAGGTCAAGTCAAGCCGGATTCCGTATAGGCGTTCATCGTCTTCCGCAAGCCAAATTATTTCTGGCAAAAAAACATCGCCAGTAAGATCACGACTAGCAGAAAAACTCAGAGTACTTTGGCGTCGAAATTGTTGAATGTTTGAAGTGGGCTCCACAAAGCTGAAGTGCGACGAGGACCAGATTGGAAGGAAGAACGAGTCTATCAGGGACGGGTCTCTGAACAACAGAATCGTCATCAGATGTATAAGCACAGGTGATCTAATTCTTTGCCCAACAAGACTGCCTGGTTTTCTCCGATTCCTCTATCTTTAGTCGGTCTCCTGATCAGTCAGGGCCCTCTTCTTGGGACACACAATCTCGTTGATCCTGAGAGCGGCCGTATCATGGGCATCGAGGTCGATCTTGAACGAGTCCTCAAAGGCCCCGAGGTCACTTCCGGTCCACATGTTGTGGACAACGTACCGCTTGCCAGCCTCGAGGCCCGGGACGTCGGCGAAAACAACAACCTTCTCGTCTTCCACATCCAGCGTGTTGAGAATGAAGACGTGCGTTCCCTTTGACGACTCGCCAGCCCAGTACTCTGCCGGGTTCGTCTGGTTCCATGACCCAAACTCGCGGCCAAGGCCCCAGTCGTACGGCTTGGCAGAGGCACCCACAATGGGGTCCTGGTTAAAGTCGACGAGCTCCTTGTTCGCCAGGATCGCGAGGACCTCGGGCTTGATCCCCTCGAGACGCGTGCCGATGATCAGAGGGCTCTTGAGCGCCGCCCACAGAGTAAAGTGGCTGCGGCTCTCAGCAAGAGTCAGCTCGCCGTTGCCGACCTCGAGCATGTCCCAGTCGTTGTGGCCCCAGAAGTCGGTCGTGTTCCAGAAAAAGGAGGCATGGTTGAGGATCGGCGCGATGCCCCAGCTCCATCTGTGCGCATTGTCAGGTCGTCCGCTAGTACCCCATTGTCCATGAAACGACAGGACTTACTCGTGCTTCCCGTGCCACACGGGGTAGATGTCTCCCCACATGCGCCAGCTGTGTCCCGTGTCGTTGCCCCACTGCTCGACGTGGGCGTGGCCCCATGCGCAGAGGGAGTACTGGATCGTGCGGTCCTGCTTCAGCAGCTCGTCGCGCATGCGGCGGAAGCGTTCCGCCGAGTTGGACGTGGCCCAGTCGTAGCCGGGGGGCGCGGGCTTGTCCGTCTTGGAGTTGACGGGCGAGCCGTCGTCCTGCTTCTCGTTGGGAGGGCCGCCGAACCAGTTCTCGGGAACGTACTTCCAGTCGTCCCACCACTCCTCGGGCACGGCACAGTTGTCGTATTTGAGGTCTGTCATGTCAGCCTGGAAGAGGCGATGAGGAGAGGGAGTTTGAGGCCAGACTCACAGTCGATGCCCCACTTGGCAAAGGTGGCAGCGTCAATGTCTTCGTAGCCCAGGGACGCCGCGAAGCCACCGCAGGTGGAAAGACCGGCGTTGGAGTAGATGCCAACCTTGAGGCCGAGTTTATGGATCTCATCCGCGACGTGCTTGATGCCGTTGGGGAACTTGACGTAATCGGGAATGATCTCCTTTGTTGTGTTGTCTCTCCGTAGCACCTTGTCGCTCCAGCAATCGTCAATGTTGACGTACTCGTATCCAAGATCCTTGAGTCCGTAGTCCACGAGGTGATGGCCGACCTTGAGGAAGACGCTCTCATCAATGTTGCATCCGTACTCGTTCCATGAGTTCCATCCCAGGGCAGGCAGACGTCCCACACCGCCGGGGCTCGTCAGCTGTGCGGCGCCCGTGGTAGCCAGGGCGAGGCCCGCAGGCAGAATGTTGCGAATGACACCCATGTCGGAGGGTTCTGTGAGTGGTTGCTGGAGGTGGTATCAGACTCGCCTAGGTCTTTCACATCATCGAGGCAGCGGAACGCACCTGGGCGTCCTGAGCATATGTAGCCGGCACCTCCGCGAGGAGTGGCAAGGCCAGCAGGGGCCATGATGCTCTGCAAGATGGCCAACAAGGAAACATCGTGGTCTGGAAGATCTGCTACTGGGTCGGCAATGCGGTCGGGTTGAGGATCCGGTCCGTTGGCGGGGGTTCGCGAGGGGAAGTGCGGGGAGGCCGTCAACGGCGGAGGATCGACGTCCGTCGCCGGAGGAGGTTGGAACCCGTACGTTGAACCTTGCCTCGCAATGCAGGAGCAGCGACTGAAGACGGGGCCCTGTCTGCGTTTGTGTTCGTGCAGACTTGTCGTCGAGAACTGGTCCCAGAGAGAGAGGCCTGGCCTGGCATGGCAGGGCATGGTGCCACCGTGACGATTTATTAAGGCACGACCTGCATGTAACCCCGGGCTCAAAGAACCGGGTAAACAGTGCTGCAGGCTCACGGGCCGGGTATGCTTAGCGGCGGGTTTCCGGGAGGGGGATTGGCGTGGCCCCAGGGGAAATGCAGCTCACGGCGTGTCTCTGGGAGGGGCTTGTCTTGTCGATGTGGCTTTTGGGGTGCTCATGAAGGAAGCAAGCCAGGGAATGGGAAATAAAGATGACGATGAGGCAGGGGTCTTCCCATCAATATCCCGATGGTTTTCCGCAAGTTGCTTGTCTCTGACAGAGTACAAGGATCAGCAATGTGGCAACAGACGCAACACGAGCACTCACGGGTTCACACGATCAACAGACTTCAAAGTCATAGAAATTTTCCTTACTTTCATCACTTGCACTTCAGCTTCACAAGATGTTCTTTGATCAAGCAAAGAAGAGGGCTATCGGACGTGCGGTACTGTTAGAGATGCGAGGAGAAAACAAAAAAAGAACTTCCGATCGGGGAATTGAACCCCGGTCCCCGGCGTGACAAGCCGATATCCTAACCACTAGACTAATCGGAACTGGATGAAAGTTGTAACTTTTGCATGTGTTGATATAGTACACTCATTGCCCAGCCTTCACTCCTGTGCAAGTGCAACTGCTCCTCCATTACAATCAGCTTCACCTGTAGAACGCCTGCAATTCCTCTCAACAACATCCATGGAGCTAGAAAGTAGGTCACGACATTTCTGACATCAGTGTCCCAAATGGATCATCACCCGCCAGGTTGCCCTTTCATGCGCCCGATAATCCCTTCAATTGACTTGAGTTTTTGACTTGCAGGACCTGATCGAAGGCTCACTAGCAATATGTCAGTGGGGAAGGCTGTCTGTCAAAATGCATTCACTTGATGATCAGGCTGTCACTTTTCAATAGTGGCCACCAATACGGCCATGCAGATGACCAAATTGGTTAGCAGTTCGGATCCCCGGCAGCTCGTGCAGCATAGAGTGGTGTGGCTAAGTTCAGCTCTCACGATAACGATGGCAGCCTCACGCGACTGATCACGCCCAACAGTCACGACAAGAAGGGCATTCTCGAGAGTGGTTCGACGTCACATTGCCTATCGCTCACGACTGAACTTCAGCAGCGACCCAAGAGGAGCGAGGTCCATCATGGAGCCATACCAGTATTCTCCCATTACAATTGCCGGCACGTTTCGGCTCGTTCGTCTTTTGCTTGTTGACACGGCGACTTCACCGCCAACTATTGATGTTTCCATCGTCGAGACATCCCTTCCTAATCCAGTGCCGTATGACGCTCTCTCTTACCACTGGGGTGTCGGAGCCGATGAAAAGCCAGACCGTCCGATAAACGTCTCGACGCCAACAGGCTCCCGCCGTCTTTTCATCTACGCGCCACTGGAGACGGCCATTCTCGAACTCGCAGCCGCAGGTTTCACCCAACGCGCCATCTTCATTGACCAGATATGCATCGATCAGCGCAGCCCTGCCGACAAGGCGGGTCAGGTGCCGCTCATGGGCGAGATCTACACACGCAGCGCGCGCGTCGTCGTGCGCCTCGGCCCCTCAACGCCCGCCTCAGACGACTACTTCCGCTTCGTCCGTCGAATCAACGCAGCCTCTCCGCTAGGTCGCATCGTCCAGATCGCGGGAAAAGAGTTTCTCGCGATCTACGACGCCGTCGCCGATCCCACCATGCCTTGCGAGCCCGCCGTGGCTGCCGATCGCGACGCGCTGCTCGCCCTCATCCAGGCGAATCCCGAGTTCCCGCTGGCGAGCGCGATCGACGTCCAGAGTCGTTCGTGGTTCAGCCGCCTCTGGGTCATCCAGGAGTTCTGCCTCGTGCGCGACGCCGTTCTCCTCTGCGGCGGAGAAGTCGTCTGCGTCACGTGTCTGCGCGCGGCCATGCTCTTCTTCGTCGTGCACAACGTGTGGTGGTTGAGGAACATCAAGGGCGACGTCCCCGTGTCCACGATCAAGCAGCGGGAACGCGTCTTCCAGCTGAACGCCGCCGTCATACGTCTGTTCCAGGAGCGGAGGGCCATACACACCGGGGATGGCAAGCGCGATCTGTATGACGTTGTCCTCAAGTACAACATCGACAAGGAGGGCAACAAGATTGGGGCGACCATGCCGGAGGACAGAATCTTCGGGCTCATGGGACTGGCGAGAGACGACGCGTACTGGCGGCAAGTGCGGGTGCGCTATCATGACGCCGTCGGGGTGTACACCGACGTTGCGGGGCTCATGGCGGCGAGGAACACCGATCTGCTGCTGTATTCGCAGTTTCCCAAAGAAATAGCCGGCCTGCCATCGTGGGCGCCGGACTGGTCGGCCAAGCTGCGCGTGCCGCACGGCTACATGGAGCTCGGCCAGCCGGTGTTCAGTGCCGGGGGCCCCGGCGGATCCACGCCGCGTGTTGACCCCACATCGGGCTGCCTCGTGGTGGAGGGTGTCATCGTGGATCACATCAGCCGGGTGGGCGCTCGACAATTGCAGCTGGATTCGTCAGACAAGACATCGGAGGGTGTCGACTATATCATGACAAAGGCCTTCCTCGACGAGACCCAAGAATTTGTCGAGACAGCCGCTCAGCTCGCCACGTCATCCATCCATGGCCTCCACGCCGACCAACTTGCCCAGGTGGCCATACGGCTCTCTGACTTTGGCCTCACAGAGAAGGTGCTGCTGGAAGACATGGCGCCCGACGCCGTGGCGACGACACTCGTCCGAGTGCGAGAGCAAGTACACCAGACCGGCCAGATGCTGATCAAAGCGAACAACGCGATGCAGACCTACACTCTCGGCAACCTCCTTCAGAGTCTGAGCCAGGCACCATGGTACTGGGCTCCTCCGAACGAGTTCGAGATGGTCCGGTCCTACGCCGCCACCCCCCGTCAAGCTGTCTTGACGTTGCTACGCGGTGCCCGCCTCGCGGCCATGGATGTGCTCGTGGCCCTCGGCGCTTCGACAGCCATGTTCGCCGTGACACGATGGCTCGCCTTTCGCAAACGATGCAGGGGGTTCAATTTCGAGGGCGTGACGTCTTCGCAGAGGGCAGGTCTGCAGCGTTTCGGTCTGGACGAGACGTTGCTGCGGAGCACTGCGATGCGAGACTATCGCGACCACCTAGCGAGAAACATTGGCAACCGGGTGTACATGACGAAGCAGGGGTTTGTGGGACTGTGTCCTTCGCAGGCCGTGGTAGGGGATGCAGTAGCCGTCGTGCTGGGCGGCACGGTGCCGCACATTCTCCGTGCAAAAGCAGGGGCAGCGGCTGGCAGATGGGAGTACGTTGGTGAGGCCTATTGTGAGGGCGTCATGCAGGGGGAGGCCGTGAGACAGCCGGATCGACGCGTTGGCGAAATCCTCTTGGAATGAGCGACGTGAACATGATGGTTGCTCATGCCATGTTGTTCGGGAATTATGGAGGGAGAGGCGGTGGATTGCCATTCATGAACCCACTTGTGAGGCATCGGTCATGAGATCTTCATGGACCCAGCTTGGAAGATGGATCTTTCCTCAGCAGGGAACCTTACGCTATCTTGGGTACAATAGTCTTGAGATCTCCAACGAAGAGCTAGCGGGCATGGGGACCAGATAAAGCAAGACTATATCTGGATCTGGATCATCAATAGAACTGGTTGCGTACGAGTTGGTTCTTCAGAGCTCGAGGTCCTATCCGCGGGACGTCAAGATCAGATATTCCACCCATAGCAGCTAGATGACTAGGCAAGTACCTTCGCTAAAGGAACATGTCAGGGGCTTCAGAGACAGAATGTTGCCGGGATGAACGCTGCTTAGGCTTGAAGATGGTCTTGTTCACCTGACTGGGCGTGGCGTGTGTCGAATGCAAGGAGAGAGAAAAAGGTTGCAGCTATGCCATTCAGACTACAGTCTTAAAACGGGAGCGTCCAACGCTGCAAGATAGCGAACTGATTGTTCACGAGTCCAGGGTCTGCCACACAATGTCAGCACTGCACACCCCCAAATGGATCAATAGACGCGCACAGGAGGTTGCTCCGGAGCATTTGCCCCAGACGACCCACTCAGGTCGCACACCGAGCCACACGCGCTGCATGCGGCTTTGCGAAATGCCATGTCGAATCCCTGAGGCGCTGTGGGATAAGTGGGGGGATTGCGGCAGTGATCCAACCAGACGAACCAGCAGCGTCTCACGAGGTGTGGCTGCTGATCGCATCGTGCATCGGGGGGATGCGAGGCGTGTAGAGTTATGCGAGGCGTGTAGAGTTATGCGAGGCGTGTAGAGTTATGGCGGTATGTGTTGTTCTTGATTGTACGCGATCGCTCGAGAATACCGCATGACGGAAGAGAGAGGAAGCCGACTCTGCCCCTGCGCAGTACGTACCAAGCGTACGGCGCCTACCTCCCTGGTGTAGGTACCTATGGTCAGGACCTGGTAAGGTAGATAGGAAGGCAGGTAGTAGGTAAGGCAGGCAGGTGGGCAGGCAGGTGGGTAGGCACCCGAAGCCCCCAAGACCGATCACTATCGAGATCTGTTAGCGTCCCACTACAGCGCTGTTCGCCGGACGCCAAGTGGGCCCCACGTCCCCCGGCGGCCCTGGGCATTACCCGCACATGTCCTCAAGTGCGCCAACGCCATCTGGCTCTGGCCTCTCCCAGTCCTCTGACGACACCCATCAATCCCATGGCCAAAGACCGAAAAGCCATCCGGCTCCATGAGGGCATCCCATGCCTATCAAAGTCGCCGCCGGTTCGGTTCGAGATCCATCGAACGAGCTCTGTCCCCTTCGCCTACCGATGAAAGGGCTGCCTCTACCGGCCCATCCCTGTTGCCGCCATCCAACTGTCGCAACCACGTTACATGACATCTCACAGCACGCCCGCCTGTCCTCCCCCCCTCTCCCCCAGTTCCATGACATCAACGATTCTCGCATACGGCCACGCGCCTGGCCGAGGGGAACCGTCTGTCGGCGCCGAACGTGAGGATGCCCCAACATTGCGCCTCCCCGCGAGATAAAGGCTACATCATCCCTCCAACCTGCATCTCCTCTCGACGACCTGTCCTGTCTCCGTCGACAAAACGTGACAACGGTCCGCCCCAGACACCGAAGCCATCCATAGCCCTTTCCCTTGCCCGAAAGGACAGTCAAGGTTGCCGATCCCTCTTTCGTGGCACTGCTGCTGTCGAACCGATTCCAGCACTATGCACCCGTCCAACGCGGCGCCCAAGGGGACCAAGCTCTCCTCGGGCCACAACACGCCACCCAACGAAATCGAGGGCGACGCCCACGGCGTCGACCTTCAGGGTCTTGAGGGTCTGACTCTCTACGAGAAGAAATGCGTTCTCATCAACCGCGAGATCGAATACCAGGGCATGGGCAGGTACCAATGGTACATCTGGTGTCTCTGCGGCTTCGGCTACCTGCTCGATCTGCTCTGGGCCCAGGCATTCGGTCTCGCCCTCAGTCCTCTGCAGCAGGAGCTTGGCTTCAGCAACGCCGAGTCCGGCAACATTGGCACCAGCTTCAACGCCGGCATGACGGCCGGGGCCTTCGTCTGGGGCTTCCTCGCTGACATCGTGGGTCGCCGCTGGGCTTTCAACTTGACCTGTCTGATTGCCTCCGTCTTTGGCCTGTGTCTCGGTGCTTCCCAGAATTACAATACCTTCCTGGTCTTGACGGCATTCGTTGGCTTTGGAGTCGGCGGAAACATTCCCATCGACACGACCATCACGCTCGAGTTCATCCCCAAGGCGAGTTCACCCCCCCCCCCCCCCTGGCGCCTGATATCGACTGGCAAGTATGTCAAAACTGACATTTTCCCAGAACAAACGCTTTCTGCTGGCTTGCTTGTCCGTCTTCCAACCCATTGGCGTCGTCATCTGCTCCGCCATTGCCTTTGGTTTCATCCCTGTCTACTCGTGCTCCCCCAATTTCTCCGAACAGGACCCCCTTCCGTCTTGTCGCAATGTCGCCGACGGCGAAGAATGCTGTTCCCGCGGTGCCAACATGGGCTGGCGCTACCTCCTGTTCACCATTGGCGCCATCACCCTCTCCGTCTTCATCCTGCGCTTCTTCGTCTTTACCTTTCGCGAGACGCCCAAGTACCTGATCTACCGCGGTCAGGACGCCAAGGCCATCGAGACGCTGCATCACATGGGCCAGGTCAACAAGCGTCCGTGCAAGCTGACGCTCGCCATCTTCGAGTCACTCACCACCGATGACTCGTCCGTCGGGTCCGGGTCCGGGTCCGGGTCCGGGTCCGGATCTGCTTCCAAAGCCATGCTCGGCGGTGGCGACCGCCAGCTGAAGCTCTCCTGGTACGAAAAGCTGCGGCTGGACATGTCCCGCTACAAGATGCTCTTCGACGGCTGGCAGATGACGCGCCTGACCATCCTCGTCTGGCTGACCTACATCATGGACTACTGGGCCTTCACCGTCGCCGGCTTCTACCTGCCGCGCATCCTCGCCCTCAAGAACGGCGCCATCGACGTCAGCCTCACCCAGACCTACGCTGCCTACATCTACACCTACGTCCCCGGCATCTTTGGCGTGCTGCTCGGCGCCTTGATGTACCACATTCCCAGTTTCGGCCGCAAGTGGACCCTCGTGCTCTCGGCGGCCCTCATGAGCACGTCCATCTTTCTGCTGTCCGTCGTCGACACGCGCGCCAAGAACGAGGGCCTCTTCACGATGGAGTACTTTTTCCAGAGCATGTTCAACGCCGTGCTCTACGGGTGGACGCCCGAGGCGTTCCCGGCGCCCGTGCGCGGCACGGCCTGTGGTTTGGCCGGCTTCTGGGGCCGCCTGTTTGGCATCGTCAGTCCCCTGATTGCGCAGCACCTGTACGGTCGTTCCGAGGGCGAGGGCGATATCAATGCCGTCCTGTATCTGGCCGGCGGTGTCATGCTGGGGTGTGTGGTCACGACGGCGCTGTTGCCGACGAACAAGATGGAGACGACGGATGCCAGGATTCAGGACTAGAGGGGGCTCGGCTTGCCATGCGAGCATCGATCAGCAAGATTTCACGAGGATTTGGATCGTCATTGATCATAATAAATACATTCAACTCGTGCCGAAGTTCACTGCCACTACTGTTCGAAGGTGTGGAAGGTACGAATCTTTCCCTGACAACCATTCTCCAAGCCGTACCCAGACGTAATTTCCTTTGCCACATTAAAGAAAGAGGCAACGAAGATGAACTGTGAGTGGAATCCGAGTCGGAAGACCCTCCGAGATCGTCATTTCTTAAGTTCACCCGACTTTCCGCTGAAGGATCATCAAATTTGTCCCGCTAAGCCAGGAAGAGAAGGTGAACTAACTGTTGCTGACGGCGCAGAATTTTGACCTGGGACTTTGGCAAGGAGACGTCTAGACGTCTCTCATTTCATCTCAGGACACTGGAGAAGAAGCCAAAGCTACGACTCCCAAGCCCCCCCACGCAAACACTACTGTCGAACGCCGGCCTCTGCGGCGCTTCCTTCGCAGGGATGCTCAAACCTAAACCCTCCCGCGGCAGCACGGCGAGCATCCGAAAACAAGGGTCCCCTCACCGCTCCCCAGCGTTATCATTTCCACATCTCACCGAAAAGAAAATGGACAAGCCGAGCGGCCCGAAGCGCGGCTCCTGCGCGGGATCTGACCTTCTCGGCCGCCCTTCGGAGCGCGGCCCGGCCAACCACCCGCACCACCCTTGCGGAGCCGGGGATGCGGCGCCTCGGTGAAGGATCTCGTCGTCTTGGCAGGCGTGATGCGGCCGCCTCCATCCTTCAAAGAGGATGCGATCCCCCGCCTGCGCATGCTGCAGGGCTCAGGTCTTTGTGCAACATGCCGCTGAGAACAGGACGTCGCTGCTGGGGCACGTGCGACACAACTCCCCCGTGGTCTCGACGCTGCGAGGTCGGGTCCGACTGCGTCGCCTGAGGAGTTTTGATCTGCAGGCATCCATGATGCCGTGGGGGTGGAGATCAAGGGGCTTCAGTATGGCCTGGACCGAGACCAAAGTCGGCAGCTTGATGGTGTCAGATCTGGTGATTTCACGAACTTTGCGAAAAGCCCTCGACGTCTGACGCTGTCTTGCTTTCATCGCCGGCCCGGCTGCCGCTCGCCTGCACGTTTCAAGCGCTCGTGGGAGCGAGCAAAGGACTTGATGATGTATCCATGTCTAGTTTCTCACTTGTATAAATGGCCGTTCGTTCACGTACCAGATGAGAAGAACCCATCAAAGGCCTCACAACAGTCACGATGCGTCTTCTGTCGATTCTTCAACTCCTGCCCCTGGCAGGCGGCGCTGCAGCGGGCTCGGCCTTTGCTAGAAACGATGAGCCGTCTCTCGGCGCAGCTGAGCCCACAAAGCAGTACATCATTGAAGTCGAAAAGGTTCGTCTCTCCTTCGTGGCACCCCGATCATTGCGACCAAACTAATGAAGTAGGACACGGACGTTGACGCTTTGTCCGAGAGTCTCAACGCGGAGGATCATGTCAAAGTCCTCAAGACCTACAACTCGGAAGTCTTCCGTGGCTTGACCATTGAGACGGACGTGTACAACCTCGACAGCATTGGACAGCTGGGAGACGTGGCCCAGGCGTGGCCGGCGAGCGTGATTGAACTCCCGGACTTGGGGCCTGGTGTGCAGCCGCCCAGCAACGCGAGGCTTGCCGCGGCGGCCAACTATTCCATCCATTCGTGGACTGGGGTGGACAAAATTCATGCTACTGGCAACTTTGGTCAGGGCGTCAAGGTAGCTGTTGTTGATACGGGCGTTGATTACAGACACGAGGCGGTTAGTACCACAAGATAAAGTCAACCTTGAACATTCGCTGATTTGACTTTAGCTTGGTGGAGGATTCGGCCCAGGTTTCAAGGTGTCAGGGGGTTACGATGTGGTTGGCGATGGTCAGTAATATGATGAACATGGGGAGACAGCATGCTCACATACACTCAAGCTTGGCCGATCGAGGATGGCGTGCCTGACAGCGATCCACTAGATGGTCGAGGCCATGGCACGCATGTCGCTGGCATCATTGCAGCTCAGACAGACTCGTAAGTTTCCCAGCAATTGATGGTTCCTCAGCACCGTCCTTTTGTGTCATGTCTGACCCTATACCCAGGTTCCAAGGCGTCGCGCCTGGCGTTGATCTGCTCGCATACAAAGTTTTCTCCTCGATGGGGGTATGTCCAAATTCATTCATACGCAGTAACGCTCAATGTCACTGATCCTTCCAACCCGCAGAGTGGCACATATGACACCTACATTATCGATGCATTCATCAAAGCTTTTGATGACGGCGTAAGTCACGACAGGCAAGGAAGATCTGAACGCCTCCGAACTGACCGCTTGACAGGCTGATGTCATCACCTGTAGTATTGGTGTTTCCGGAGGCTGGTCGAACGGCCCCTGGGCCACCATCGCGTCGCGAATCGCCCAACAAGGCGTCATCATTACGATCGCAGCTGCCAACGATGGTGCACAAGGCGCATTCTACGCCAGCAGCGGGTCTTCTGGAAAGGAAGTTTTGGCTGTGGCATCTGCAGAAGCCGGGACCTACGCAGCGACGCCATTCCAACTTACACAGACGATCAATGGGGAAACAACCTCTGTTCAGTCTGCGTATCGGTACAACAGCATCAACGCCTGGGACATCGAGGCCACTCCTATTCATCCTCTTTACCTCAACACCTCCAGCGGTCAAGCGTGCTCACCAGCTTTGATTCCCGCCGACACGCCCGACCTGTCCAACGTCATCACCTTGGTCCGCCGCGGCGGCTGCGACTATCTAGACCAAGAATTCAACCTCAGGGCTTTCAATGTCAGCCGAATCATGTTCTACAACGACAACAGCCGTCCTGACCACCCATCGACCTGGCTTAGTGGGCCCAAGGCACTTGTTGATGCCAACGTTGGTGAGGGTATCGTCGAGATCATCAAGGCTGGCGGTCAAGTTTCGGCGGACTTTTCCAAATTCAAGGATGCCGATTGGTACGTTGGTATGCACAATGGTGTGGGTAACAAGCCCAGTGAGTTCACCTCATGGGGCGGCCTGAATGATATGGACCTCAAGCCGGAAGTCTCGGCCCCGGGTGGCAACATCCTGAGCACCTGGCTCGACGGCACTTGGCGGGTTGCCAGTGGTACTTCTATGGCCTGTCCTTATTTGGCGGGTATTGCGGCCCTCTTCATAAGGGAGTTTGGCGGCCGCGAAGTTCATGGCCCCAGCTTGAGCCAGATTTTCTACAATCGAGTCGTTGCCAGCGGTAACTCGATGCCTTGGTCTACCGTTGATGCCGTGGCGTTTCAGGACACGGGATTCTGGGCTCCAACGATTCAGGCCGGCAGCGGCTTGGTCGACGCTTGGAAAGTTCTCAACTACACCAGCACCCTCAGCACAACGAAGTGGGTACTCAATGACACGGCACACTTTGATGGGCAACACAGTACTGTCATCGCCAACAATGCCAACGTTGACGTCGAGTACGAATTCCTGCTCCAGCCTGCCGCTGGTGTTGAGGTCGCAACCACTTCCGGTGCTCTGGCCAAGCTCAAAGACTATAAACCTCTGAGAATGATACCCAACATCACACTGCCTTCAGGCAGCTTCAAATTAAAGCCAGGCGAGAAGCGGAAGGCCGAGTAAGTTCTTGCTTTTTTTGGTCGATTCTGATCGAAAAAGATCAATGCTGACAGCTGAAAGGTTCTCTTTTGATTATCCCCGAGGTCTGAACGAAGCGAAACAGCCTCTATACAGCGGCAAAGTCCTCATCACTTCTTCTCTGGGGGAAACTCTCTCTGTCTCTTACTTTGGCGCAGCGTATAATTTGAAGGACCAGTACAAGGACATGTTCATAGACAACACGCCGTATATCATGTCTCCTTCGCGAAACTTTCCCGAGAAGAGAAAGTAGGTATCGTCTTTTCCCGTCGCGAGTTATGGGCCGCTGACCTTGAGGACAAGTTTCACATTCGACCTCAGCTCGGGCAAACCTACTAGCCAAGATTATCCGAAGGTCTTCACGTCTTTTAGTTTTGGCTGTGACGAACTCCGTTGGGATGTAAGAAAATGATACGACCCTCGAGTGTCTGTTTGCTCGAGAAAGATCTAACAAGCTTGCAGATCTATGAGTCTGGGTGGGAGGAATCAAGATGGTCATACCCACCAGTTGTCGGGGAGAACGGCTACGTGGGTGCTGCTACGGCGTTCCGTGATTCTCTAAGATATACATTCTTCGACTCGAGCATCCATGACAAAGAAGACACCGTGGCTTTCCCAATCCGCGCTCTTAGTCGGAGCATTCAATCTGGCGGCACGTCCCTCGGGCTGGATCGTCACAGGTTCTTCTGGCTTGGAAAGCTTGCAAATGGAACTTATATCAAGCCAGGCATCTACAAGTAAGTTACATTCTGTCTCTTCATCGTGCATACCACCGTATCTGGAACTGACAATACTGAACTCGCAGGATGAGATTCGCCGCTCTTCGACCTCTGGGTCTGCGCCAGGACTCTAATGATTGGGACGTTTGGGAAACACCAGAGATCACAGTGCTCCCGCTTCCGGTGGATTGATTTTGCAACCAAAGCAGCTACTAGCAGGAGTTCAACTGAATTTCTGAAGCTCTACCAGACCAGTTTTCTCGATGGAGGAAATCTACTGGCATGCAAACCTCTCCTTCGCCATTGAACTCCGCAAAATACTTTGCTGGCGCTACATGACCGCCTGAAGTGCATTTACAACATCCTGTTTTCCATGAGAAGACGCAATCTGCAAGGCAGTTTTGCCGTCCTTATCCAGCTTGAACACGTCCGCGCCTGCTTCTACCAGCATTCTCGTCATTTCTAGATTTCCCCTGGCCGCTGCAATCATGAGCAATGTTCCTTCATCCGGATGTGACGAGTTGACATCCCCTCCGTGGGCGATGAGGGTCTTCATCAGATCATTGTTTTCGCAAATCGTGGTCCAATACAAAACCCCGCGCCCGCCATGTGTTGGGCGGTTGATGTCCGAACCGCCCTCGACCATGACCTTTGCTTGTGCGGTGAAATCTCTTGCGCATATACCTAACATAGGGACATGATCTGGCTTGAGGTTAGGTGCTGCACAGCATGAAAAGAACTAGGACTTACCCATGCCATCCCACATTGGGGCATCGGGATCGGCTCCAAGATCAATGAGAAACCTTGTCATTGCTGGGTCTCTTTTATATCGCGCCGCAAGAAATACTGCAGTGGCTCCATACAGATTGTCGGAGACATCCGTGTCTGGCCAAGTCTCGGGCAATCCGGCTTCATCGATCACGTGCCTTGTGATTCTTTGGTTCACATCAGCACCTCTTTCTACAAGGATGCGCATCGCAGGTCGGCTATCGCATCTGAAGGCGTGATAAAAGGGTGTGATTCCTTGCTCTGTCAGTCGGGCATTCTTTACCAAAGTGCGACCAACTACGCTTACCGCGATGATCAGGCTTGCTAATGCTGAACCCCTCGTCGAGAAGTATCTTCATCGAAGATTTGTCGACGTCGGAAATGGCCTGGTGTAGTAAGAAAGGGCCTTGACCAGTTTCAATGAGCCGCTTCGCCAGGGACTGTAGAAGCGGACGAACACCAGGGACCTCTTCAGAACGTCCTGTAAGCCGTAGCAGCGCGGTGGATGAGTCTCCGATGATGCATCCCTTCTCAGACAAGAGACGCGCCACGCTCAAAGCTTCTGAAGCTAAGGCCAGGCGGAAAGGACTTCGCAGCTCGTAGTCCTTAGCGTTGATATCGGCTCCGTGCTCAATCAGCAGGTTTGCAGTCTCTGCGTCGTCGGCGATAGCGCAATAATGCAGGACCGTATAACCCTGTACCGATCTTGTCGATAGGGATAATCCTTGATTGAGAAGTGTCTCGATAAGGTGCTGATTCCGAGCTCTGACTGCCTCGAGTATGGCGTTGGGATCACTAGCCCAAGGACTCAAGAGCGCTGCCGTATCTGCGGTATTGTGGCTCTCGCCCATCGTGGCATTGATACCGCGTGCCACGAGCCTGTCATCCGTTACTGGCTGGAGAAAGCGCCTCAGGGAGAACTCGGGGTCGGTGACCTCGGACAGTGACGCCCGACGGCCGCGCTCTGTTGAAGCGCTTGCGACATCGTCTTCGATCCGCCGTTTGACTCTTTTCCCAGCTTCGAAATTTCGGAACTCGCTCATGATCTTGACGTAGGCGTCCTTGATATCCGCCCTGATGTCGTCTTGACCTTTGCCTTCCAGCAGGCTAGTCGACGCATGTATAAGCTTCATGGCTCCACAGATGACCTGTAGTGTGTGGAGTAAGGATGGCTGGCTTACCCGTTCAGTGCCGACAATGTTAGATTCAAACTTGCCTTGCCCTCGTTTAGTCTTGCTCTCAGACCTCGTATCTCACTCTTCCGCATTGTCCAACCGAGTGCGAATCTCAGCGGACTTCTTTTGCCTCCTCCGCCCGTTGATGCCAGCGGCTTGAGCAAGACGTGCATTCCCTGCATGGCTTCCTGGCACATATCGAGGTAGTCTCCTAGCGCGACGGCAAGTGCTTTGTCTTCGCGGCAAATATCGTACTTGGTGCACGTCTCCTGCGCCGACGCCAGGACCGCTACGAGAGACTGCACATCGCGTCCGACAGCTGAAATATCCTCGGGCGCGTCCCGTATCTCCATGACCAGCGAGTGCAAGCCGCGCGCTGTAGATGCGGCAAATGCCAAGACACCAGTGACGCTCGCCGCGATGGAGAGGGGGTCCATGGCGATGTAGTCTCCGAAAGTGAAGCTGGTCCTCTGCGAAAAATGATGGGAGATGCCTAACACTCGGTCCATCGAGAGGGGGAAGCGTCTTTTTAAAATAAACCCATTCTATGAGTTGATGCGGCTCCTGTAGGGGCGATATTTTCGGAGGGAAGAAAGTTGAGGCAGCCAGCTGCAAACAGGGATCCGTTTAGCGAGGCGGTGCTGCATGAAGGATCTGGTGGCGCGTCACAGCCATCCTCGATTGAGAACTGATAATGCCAGGGCCACATGAGAAGCTTTTGTTGAAGATCTGCATTTTTACCCTGTCGACGCAACAGAGCACATGGCCAACTGGGTAAGGTGAGATAATAACCGGGTACTTTGAGGTAAGATACTATTTCTTGGTGGAGTCGAGTTTCGGCACCGAGTGGGGCCGGCTTGGTCACGGCAACAGTTGTTCGGGCCGGAACCGCAGCACGTCTTGAATGAACCTCGAGTGGAGTCGTCGTCTATTACCTGATCTTGCCTTGAATGCCTAGCTTGATACATATTTTGGTACCTTGGATATAGCACAAGTGTTGTCGGTGGAGAACCAGTCTTCTTCAAAACAACTTCCCTCCCATTCTCAAGGACAATCATCATGCCATGAATATCTAGGCCTCACAGATTTTGAGCGATTATGTGCCAGAGGATTGATATATTCGCAAGAACCCTAAAATGAAGATGGAATACAATCAGAGAGCCATTATGGTTTTCTGTGTATGGCCTCTATCAGAAAAGCTTCCTTTGCAAAGGATGCAACACCGGAAGCGCTTCGAGAACATGTGTAAACCCAGAATCGTAGTCCTAGCCAACATTGCATTTCTTACCACCAGGGCCTTTCAACTTGTTGTTCCAACGAACACTACCAGAACTGCAGAGAATCTATGAAAGCGAAAACACATCAGCAAATGGTCCCCAGAGAGAGGCCGGTACAGGGCTGAACCCTGTGCGGGAATACGCACGCGGCCGTGGCGCTGAAGATATCTTTTACGCTTGCAGATGTTGCCTTGTCAAGTACCAGGGCGAAAAAAAGGGTGAAGCCTCCGATGACGCCCAACCGCACAGGCAACGTTTTGATAAAATAAAGAGTGATGATTGCGACTATCGGGAACATGCAAGCCACGACAGTCTTAAAGGTTCGTGCGACAGCCATGATACGTTGATTCTGGTATACAATGGCGTTCCGCGCATGTTCAGCCTCGTCAGTAGCCTAGTAGGTAACGAAAATGTTAAATCATCATAAGTTGTCCCAGCGCACAGAATCAGTCCGAGGCGGGCACTTACATGGATGCGATGTCCGATGACTTTGTCGTAGTAGTAAAGAAAGCCAAGCGACCACCGGTTTGTAAAACCGTCAGGCGAGCTGGGTTCCATGTTCACGAGGTCAGCCAACTCTGTTGTTTTCCATGCATCGCTGTCAATCCCGAGAAGAAATATATCTCCACGTTTGTGATCGTCCATCCATTCCACGAGAGACTCTACTTGACGACGATGAGGCTGCCTAAATTCAACCATCTGTCTGTGGGCGACCAAAGCCTCTTCTGTTGATCCTTAGTATTTGTTGAGCGTGCCCGCGAGGCGGTAGCCATTGGACCTCCACGTCGAACACCACGCCCCCCGGGGGGAGGGGGGGGCTGCTAATGCTCGGGGTCCAGGGGTTGACTTACGATATTCCTTCAATTTGGCTCTCAGTTCCAGGAATATCTCCCACTGCCGAGGGTCATCTCTTATCGGATCATTCGAATCGATTGACGCTTGCAATGTGGCCGAATCATGCGCATACTCGCAGCGGTTGGTTCCCTTGGCCGCAGAGTTGTCGTTCTTCTGGCATTCCCACAGCTCATCCCTTAGCGCTACAATTTCTGCTTGGCGGTGTAGAAGAATCTCTGCCGACAACGCGATGAAGCGCATGAAGATGGCCAAGTCCGGTTGCTGGCCCATGGCAGCCGCAAGGCGGGAATAGCCCCTTGTCTCTCTCTCAGCCCTTCCATCTCTGTTTCCTCTCACCTTCTCATCCTCCTGTTTCATAGATTCCAAGTCGACGGGAGGGAGTGGAACTGTTGAATGGGGGGACATGACATTTCAAGCCATTGAAGGCTGGCCAAGGGAGGAACTGAATGGGTGTTGCTTTCGAAAAGTCGCGACGCGGCATATTGGGGAATTGCGGAGGCGGACGGGGATCTAGTACTGTTGCATAGAGCCGGGAGGCAGCGATTCCCCCGTCATCCTTGATCACATGAGGCATGGTACTGATTGGTGGCCAATGGCCAAGGTTGGGGTGTCGGCTCAGACATCCAAAACATGGTAGGGGTGTGGCATGTCGCACTGATTCAGCCTAACATATACACCCTCTTTCGGGCTCTCTCGGTCACCGTTTGAGGTAACCCTCCTACAATTCACGGTCGCCAGCAGAGAGGCTGCCAGCAGGGAGGCTGCCTGCAGCATGGTGGTCTGCACCTCACCACATGTGAATTAGTCCTCACCGTGCATGCGCCATCCTTTTCTTCCGTCCTTCCCAGCACGGCAAAACATGTTGCGTCCCTCATCACACCAGGCTGGGCTCCGAATTCTATTTGCGCGTGCCAGGTCACAAGATGCCGACAACCAGTACAAATAAACAGGGCTAAGCGAGTTGCAGCGCTTGGTTACCACTTGCTTGAGGGCAGAGGCATTCACGATCAGTGGGGAGGGTGTCGAAAGTGCCCGATGGGCTTGTTGGGCATGAGAGCCAGCCTCGCTCGCCGACTTTGTGGTTTTCTTATACTCGCCCGACAGCCCTGTCACTGGTCGCAGCGCGTGCTATGGTAGTCTTCTGTTTCGTCCTCGCCTAACGATCCTTCAACTGCGCAAAACAGTCCATCCCGCAGCTGTAAGCAGCTATCTTCCTGTCTTGCCACGCAAACGGCGACAACGCATGTTGGGTAGATAGGCTTGCTTCGTGAAACTGCCCACGTCGACAGCACCACCGACGCTACCAGAAAGATGAGTAAACGTAGTGCTGCGGCTTCAACAGCGACAATGAGCCATAGCCAAAGTCAACGTCACCACGAATCTCGACATCGTTATTCGTCGACATACGATATGGGAGAAGGTCAGGAGCAAACCCAAAACACAGATAGCCTAGACTTTGTCCAAACACGAGAAGATGAGATCAACAGCATTCCATCGGCTCAGTCACTTCGATCGTTGACTATTCGGCAGCGGGAGCCCTATGAACCGCGTCAACACAGTTATGACCCGCCTGCTCCATTCACGAACCCACATTCACGGGCCACCACCGCACTCACTGGGTCATCCCCAGGACAGGATTCGGGGTACGGCTCATCGTACCCGTCGTCGATGGCTGCAGGCTATGTCCCGAGACGCTCTACTAGCCACCCCTCTCAATTTGGCTCCATTGTCGACCATGTCTACAATGCACCCCGGAGCTTTGACGAATACCCGCCCGAAACCACAACCTATGGATTCAGTAGCTCACCCTACGAAAGGTACAATGATACAATTCCGGCAGGGCTGTCGTATACTTCGGCGGCCATTCCTCGGCAGACTGCCACGCCTCAGGTCCCATTCCACTCTTTGATTGCCTCCCGAGACACACCTCCGTCATCATGTACGTGCGGTCCTTCGTGCCCGATCGATGCGTGTCCATGTAATCTCCAGTGCGACTTTCACGTCGCAGGGCCGGAACAAGACGAAAGTCAAGCCTGGTACGACGCGCGACCCGGCAGCTACCCCTCAGTGGGCGGCGAGCAAGTCCCAGACCCCAGTGTGAGTCGTCCGAAGAGATGAGGCGGACGCACGTTTCACGCAGTTTGTGTTCACCGCTAAATCCCAAATCACCAGTCAGGCTATTCGCAACGTGGGCATGCATCGAAATCCAGCAAGCGATCCTCTCACAAGGCGCCGCGCAGCGGCACCAAAACGCTGCCCAAGGGCTGCCCGAGCGAGTTTGTCGTCTTCATGCCCAGCAGTCTGGGCTCCCCGGAGCCCTACGTTACAGCCCGTGCCGTCATTGACCCCGACTACCATGGCGACCCCCTTCTTAGCAACGCCCTCGTGCCTTACGTGGGGAACGCCCTCGTCGTTGGTCACGAATTTGTGCCCTTCACTGGCGAGCTCAACTCCGACGACATCGCTCGGCCACTGCAAGTGAAGGTGAAGCCGTCGGGCTGGGGAAGTTTTGACTACAAAGCCGCGAGAACCGATGGGAGTTTCGAATCTCTGAGAGACAAGCTTCAGTTCTTCGAAGGTAAGCTAGCAGAGCAGACTGATTTGGTTTTCGGGGCCAACTGGCCATGCCCTGAAGATCTGATGCTGCAGGTATTCATTTTTGGGCATGGCAGGAAAAAGGACGAGGGTGAGTACCCCCAGTGCTTCACAGTCGCGGCGACCCAGATCGGTAGATTTGTAGCCTGGATGCTGTCTCTGAGCTGACACACTTGTCTTGCAGCTGATGAGCGGGCGCAAAAAGCCAGGGACGACGAGAGGGAGGCGAGAAAGGGGGAGAAGAGGGCAGAACGCGAGAGACGGAAGGAATCCGACCGCAAGAAGAAACGCGTGCCCACAGTGCCGGAAGAGACAGAAGCTGGGCCTTCAATGCCGAGGGAGCGGCGTGCACGGTCAAGGCTTGTGAATGTCGAGACGCCCGACCTTTCGGGACAGAACTATGATGGTCCTTTTGAAAATGAGACGCAAGGTGAGGAAATGCCACCGTATGAAGAGACGGAGACGAGGCCAGAAGGTCGATCACGTAGTCACCATGAACGAAGATCTGCAGACAAACATGGTAAGAAAAGCCTGGGCTTCAGTCTATTTAAGAAGCATAAGTAGAAGACACGGCCAGCTGGACAACAGAGCTCTTCCACATGGGAAGATGCATACGGCCAGACCATGATCAAAATATACCCAATCATATCATTACACCTTGGTGTCAAGCCTTGAGTTTTTTCCGCATGATAGCATTGAATCGTGTACGTCTGGTATGGTTAGGTCAGCCTCACTCTGCTGGAGGCTTCTCAAATCCCCAAGAACTTCTGTAGGTCACATCAAACCCAGGTATGACGCCACCCCCTGAACCGGCGAGGCTCCGAAAACACACTTGTAACGAGGTGGTCTCATCTCCGACGTACCACTATGAGCGTCATCAATTACCGCCTGTGTCATTTCTTTTGCTGGCAGAGGGCACGCCAAGCGCCTAGAAATGATGAAGCTGGGAACGCCTCACGGACAAGGAAGTACTCTAAAGTCCGCCTCCAATCACCAAATTCAAGGCGGCCAACCTTTTGAGAGAACAGCCTAAAACCCGAAGCCCGTGCTAGGGATTGGGCGGTTTGTCCAACGACATGACAGGGGGCTGATGGTCCATCGTTTGTCTAACAGAAAAGTAAAAACGTCGCTATAGCTGCTGAACATTACTGTTGCATGTTAACAACAGCATGATGGGCATACTGCTGCCTGTGCTGCGCCTTCGAGTACCTGGGAACAATGATCAATGACATCTATTTCTTTCCACGTCTATCAACATTAAGCAGTGCCTTTCTACCACGCAAGCGGCGCGGTACCAATCATCTACAAGTAGGTCGCCAGAGGGGTTCCCTCTACATCAGCTTGGAGCCGTCTAGCCCGTCCATCGCTGATGTAGCTACCCAGTTCCATCTGCCCGAATGTCAAGAAAATCAAGAACAATGCGGAGCCAGGGCTTCATACCATTGCCAACCCCGTACTCCATGCTGCATACCTCATGCTTCGTCGCCTCGTCGCCAAAGTCCTTGCGATAGGATCACTTGGCACTCTCAGGGATTTGTCCCTCCACTGCACTCAGCGTGGCAAGATTGACCTGGCCGAAATGCTCGTGTGCTTCGCCACTCGGGCCTACGCCAGCAAGAAGCGCCGTGCATTCAATGACATCCGAAGGTTCCAATAGGTGCCAGCGCGCCAAGGTCACCTTGGTGCTCGCCCCCACGGTCACCGTGAAAACGTGTTCGTTCTCGACCTCGTTGCCCGACATGCCGTTCAGCGAGCGGAACATGTCTTCGTCAGTAAAGTCGTCACCCAAGCAGAAGACGAATTCAACCCTGCCACCGTGTCCTTCGGCTGCGCTCTTCTCGTTGTAGGTGTGCACGAGGCGTTTCGCAATCTCGCCCTTGTTGATGAATGTTGGGCGGACCTCAAGGTTGGCCTTACCGACCATGACCTCGACCTCCCACTTCTTAGCCACCGTCGTCTGGAGCTCGTGTTGGCAGTCGCGGGCCATGTGAACACCCTGTTCAGGGTCCGCAAGGCGATAGTGCCATGTCACGGCACATCGCTTGCGTTCGATGAAGGCACCTATGCGGGTTAGAACGGAGAAACTCGATCGTATTCCGGCAGGCTGTGCTTACCTGGCACACGGTCGGTGTATCGCTGGAACACGTCAATGACCTCGGTCTGCCAGCCCATGTCAAATTCATCGGCAAGGTTAATCCAGTCTTCGGAGCCGGGGTCCTTCAAGAAACTGCCATGCTCGGCGCTGAAACCGAGGCCATGGATGTGTCCCAGGTGCTGCGACAGGAACTCCTGATCGCGCCCCGAAATGATCCAGACAGCGTTCTTCGGGTCCGCCGCCAGCGCCGTCAGGGTGTGCAGCACACGCTCTGAGGGGATTGCGGCGCTCGGCTCGCGCACGATGGGAGTCAGGGTGCCATCGTAGTCGAACATGATGAGACGCTTCTTCGCATCGCGATAAGTCTTGAGCATCAAGGTGCGGTCAAGCAGAGGCGTCGAGACGACGCTCTTCTCGCTGGCCATGACGTGAACAAGTCTATCAACAAGATTGTCAGTCCAGCTCTGTACGTTGCGCGTTGTCACGTGGTTGTAGAGGCTCTGCTGCATCGCCATGCGCTTGTCGGCCGACATGATGAGGGCATTATTGATATCCCTGGCAACACCAGTAAGATCCCATGGGTTGATGTGGATGGCGTCCTTCAAGCTGCCAGCGGTACCGCTGAACTCGGAAATAATCAAAGGTCCATGGCTGTCGCGCTGGCAAATGACGTATTCCAGACTCGTCGTGTTCATGCCGTCACGCACCGAGGTGATGAGACCGATGTCGCCTGCACGAAGAAGCGCAAAGTACTCATCAGGAGTGAGATACTGCGGGTAGTGCTGAACCGGTGAGAAGCCCAAGCTTCCGTACATGCCATTGATCCTCATCACGAGCTCATTGACACGGGTCGCAATCTTGCTTTTGCTATCGTTGTCCTCCTTCTCAGACTCAAGACCGGTTGGTGACGTGACTTGGATGAGGACGACCTTCTCGCGCCATTCGGGGTAGACTTCCAGGAAGCGCTCGAACGCCTGGAGCTTCTGTGCAACGCCTCTGACGCTATCGAGGCGGTCACGACCAACAATGATCTTTTTCCCATGATACATCTTCTTGAGGGCGTCATACTTTTCGGTGACAGCTTCAGACCAGGCATATGACTCGCACTTTGCAGCGGCAATGCCAATAGGAAAGACGCCGACATGGACGCGAGCTCCGTAGGCATCGACTCCAAGGTTGTCGGATGGGAACCCCAGAATGCGTGTGCAGCAGCTGGAGAAATGACGCGAGTAGCTGTACGACTGGAATCCGATGAGGTTGGAGCCGAGGACACCCTCAAGAATCTCCTTACGCCGGGGCAGACAACGCAAGAACTCGCTACTGGGAAAGGGCGAGTGCAGGAAGAATGCGATGTAAATGTTGGGAATACGCTGGCGAAGCATGCTGGGGAGCAACATGAGATAGAAGTCATGAATGACAACGATGTCGCCAGCCCTGTACTGCTCAATGACCTTGTTGGCAAACTTTTGGTTCATGCGATAGTAGTCGGCCCAGTTGATGCGCTCTCGGCGGCCGTCGGATGGCTCGTTTTGTTTGTAGTGGAAAAGCGTATAGAGATCGTGTTCAGCATACCTCCTCCATCGAGCTTGGTCCTTGAGGTGGATTCCCTCATCGGTGCTTTCATGGTCGTCCGACAGCCAGACTGGCACGGTTTTAATGATCTTGTTGTGCGAGAGCTGTTCCTCAAGTCGCAACTGATCTTTCTTGGATACCCAGATTCCTTCTGATACTGGAGGCGTCGGCAAGCGAGTAGTACCATCGATAGGAACGGGTGCAGAGAGCGAGCTTAGTCCAGGCATGTGCACCGTCGTCGTTGGCGGTGTTCCCGGGGGTGATACGACATCTTGTGAGACGTCGATCTCACCAGTCCAGGCAACAACGGTATGGTTCCAGGGTGTTGCTTCGGAGGAAAGGTGTGTGAAAGACTCGAAGAGGGCGGATTGGCCGCGACGGGGTTTTAGCTCCTGTTTGGTTCACAACAACGTCAGCGCGGGGTCTCCAGCTTTTTTTTTTTTGGGCGACACGGAACATACCCAATCGGAGCCCTGATGATATTTGAAGGAGTGGGGGATATTGAACGTGGCCGAAATGATATTCCCACTCAAGGGGAGGTCAGGGTTCGCATTGCGGACGTCGTCGATAGAGTGGCGGCGAGCCATGGTCTCGAGCGTCAGAAGCTGCAAAGCGTTCACCTCTTCTGTATTTTTGGCAACGGCAGGAACAGCGGCGCTTTGGCGGTAGGATTGCGGATTGTGATGGAAATAGCTTTGCCCTCCCTCGCTCGGGGAGTCGTAGGTCTCGAGATGGATGCCGGGGGTGGCAGCGTAGGCGGCGGCAGCAGCACGAGAGGAAAGACCGCGGACGGGCGACTCACTAGGATCAGTCGCGTTGGAGAGGCTCGAGGGAGACGCCGGTCTGTTCGGCTCGTGGCCGTGGCCAAGGTGATAAGATGGGTTCTGTGTCATGGTGGATGTGTTAATCAGAGGACGACCAACTCGCGCACACAGGGAAGTTGAGTAGTGCAGGATGCAGTGAGGGGACGCGGCAAGGAAGGTTCATAAGTGTCGAGGTTTCCAGTCCAAGGAGGTTGATATCATTTGGCGAATTTGCAGACCAATACGCCGTCAGCCAGAATGGGTGACCAGGCCGTGACGCAACAACCAGAGGCTGCGGAAGCCTTTGATGGGATGGCGGTGGGACAAGATAAGGAGCGGCGGAGGGGTAGCCGATGTGACAAGTCATTCCTCAGCCGGCAACAGGAAGAGACTGACAGCGGCCACTTCAATGGGCTCTGACAGGCGCTGCCGGCTTGATGCGTTACGCCGTCAAGGTGGCCGTCCTCGATCGATTTGCGGATCATCCGAAGTGCGCCAGGACCATTTGCTCCTGAGAACGGGCTGGACCTTTGCGCGCCCTGGGGCTTTGCCTCTTGGCGGACAAAATGTGCTTGAGGGCCAGGGTTGTCTATGGTCGATGCCCCCTTGACGCGTGGGCAAGCAATTGGTCAAAATAGGCTCCGGTAGCAAGTTTCCTGGTCAAATTGATCGGAGGTCGGCGATGGGTAACCGTGGGCGATGCGGCCTGTTGTCTGCATCCTGCGGCGGTTTTGGTCCTGCAACACCGGGATTGGCTCCAGAACTTGGTTCCTGGATTTCCTGGGCCCTGGATCTGTTCCTCCCTCATGTGTGACCCGACAAAGGATGGATTGGTCGGGCCAGGCGCGTCAAGCGGGAGTCTGCGTCGGTCGATTGTTGGAGCTTGGGAGAGCTTCGTAGAGCTCGAGATGGGGTGAGGGGCAGTGACAAGGGGGTGGAGGGGTAAGGCAACTGAGAACACCGCCTGGAGCACAGAGGGCTGAGTGGGTGGTACTTACGTCTGGAAATTGGGATCGCGGGCGAAGAGTTGGTGAAGAGTCCAGCGAGGGAAGGA